ATATTGACTTATTTTATTACCTTTTTGGCTGAGAATTGGAATTGAACCGATGTATTATTTATCATTGATATGAATATATGTGCAATTTAATTAAAATATTGAAATTCTCTGAAATTCAATGCATATATTAATGCACACTAGTCTATTTATGCATAAAGCACATAAACGCCTACTCATTTAAACCGTTTGATAATTTTCTGAGATAAGACAAAATATTTGATTATTTATTTGTATACTCGTTGATACAGGTGGTTATCTGTAACGGCGTTCTAGTAATTACGTAACTGTATAAAAATAGATCGACAATAAAATACATAGTATGTGTAAATTTATATATATATGATATATATATCATCCCGCTAAATTAATGTTTTGTCCAAAACTGAGCATATTTCGTAATACTTCATTATATGAGTTAATTCAAAATATATACTACCATTTTAAATAAGAAATACGACTAAAAGATGAAGAAGTTATACGTTTGCCTTAAATATCAAGGATTCACTAACTGATAATAGTTCAAGCTATAATGCAGTTACAAAAACAATATGCCACGTTATTTATCTGGATTCACTATACCGAATCATTAAATAATAGGTTTTATGGATATGTTCAGACGATTTCATTGTTTTATTATCCTACGTTTTGTTTAACTGAGCTGTTTTAGACTCAGTATAATATTCAATCCGCTAATGAATAACTCAATTTATGTGGTACAAGAGATTTACAGAGATTGTGTTATTTTTATAATTGAAATTGTGAACTGATCTTAGCTAGACCACCATTGAAAACAGTTTATGTAATTCAAGTTTAGTAAATTGAGTTATCTATTTCCTTAATTTTACCACCTACTAAACTAATTCATCAGGTATTTTGTTTGAATACTTCATTTCACTGTCATCTATTGCACAAGTAAGTCAGCTCACATAACTTTCATTCATCAAGATGTGTAATATCGATTAATGATGGTATAATACATGTCTGGTATTTTTTTGTTGCAAGTATTGATCTTTCTAGTTAAAGAAACATTACTCATCATAGTTTTCCTTCTACCATATAATATCCGGATTGAAAAGTTGTAATGCTATCTTAAAAGAATATTTGTAAAACACCTATACTGTTTAGACCATAAATGAATGACATGGTAGAGATGGTCAACATTTTTATGCCTGTTTTAATGAGAACAACACTCTTCTGAATATCATTGGGTCGTACACCAACAAGTTCTGTTGTTCGATATGTGTTTTAACCTTTACATTTTAATAGACTGAACTAATTATTGCCCGATTGCTTTTGTCAAAATATTCTCATAAGTGTTTTAAATACATCCTAGTCTATGGTTATCTCTTAAGAGAAAAATAGTTTTCGTCATACTACTGAAATGTGAACCTTGTTTCACCACACTTATATCAAAATTTTTAATCACCTTCGGAATGATCGAGTGTAATGTTATTTTACGCTTTTATTTTTAAATCCTTCATTAGCATTACTTTAAACTGATATCACTGTCCTTAAGACTAAATATGTTTCCTTTCTTAATGTAAATAAAATATGAAATTTTTTTTAGAAATTTTACTTTATATTTGATTAATTCATCATTCTCACTAACCGAACAGATTAAAAATGACATTTCAAGTCCGGAATAACTGCTATTACTGAGATCATCAATCAGTCATTGTTAGATTATCATTATAAAAGCCTACAAGTGTTGGACGCTCTTCAACCTACATCATATTGTTAAACGATCGAAATTTCAAAATTAGCTTTTCTATTTAACAATTTGTAATGTCCTTGAATATATTCTTGCATCACTGAATACTGTATCATGTAAATGTATGACTAAAGACTAGGTGTACATATTGCATAAAGATTCTGTAATCCCGCTCACTGAACATTCCTTCATTTCTAGTGCATAGTATGTCCAACATAAATAATAAACTCTTCTAATATTCAGTTAACAGTTTTTTTATGTGGACAGATGTGATCCGAATTTCTATTGTTTTAACTAAAATGATTTCTGTAATTTATTCAGCTCATTATCATGTAAACTGAATATTAATGTTGTATTAAGGTATTAAGGTAAAAGGAAAAGAGGAAGGCCAAGGAACACATTACACCGAGAAATAGAGAAAGATATGAGAAGAACGAAAAAAATTTTGAAAGAACTGAAAAGGGAAGCCCAGGACAGAGTAGGTTGAAGAACAAAGGTCGGTGGCCGATGCTCCATTGGGGATAACAGGCGTAAGTAAATAAGTATTAAGACTGAGTGTTTGATGTAACACAGTGGTCGGGTATCTCTTCGTGTACACAACTTTAATTCATACTTTATATGAGACGAATAAAAAAACTACCAGGTCACTTGAACCAAACGAAAATAAAATAGATTTGGACAGTCACTTTAATAACTAAAAGCTCAGTACTTCAACTGTTGAATAATAGTTATTGTTTTTTTAATCTCGTAAAATTTACTTAGTTTACTAATTACATTACTTGTTGTTCAGTCTTTGTATGACTCAGTTAACTTCGGCAATTCATTTTATAAAAGCTTTTAAATTATGCTGTCTCGTTGCGCAAAATATTGATTGGTATCAATTAATCTATTGTCGTATATGATTTACTGTTATTACATTAGTTAAATTCACAGCGTTCGCTATGAGAATTTCTTTATTTAGTTATATATTTTTCACAAATGTGTGTCATGTGTGATTCACTTTCAAAATTATTGTTTATTTTAAGAATGAGTCAACTAACATTCATTTTGTTAATTTTGAATTAAAATATACTATACAACATTAATTACAAATATAATGACTTAAAAAAATATATGATACGGTAAATAATTTGGAATATTAATGCCATATTTATGGTCAAAAGTATATGTATATATATATATATTGCTTGCCAATCAATCAAAATTCAAAACAAAATAAAATTTATGACAAACCGAAAATATGGGTGATTTAGATCATCAGCTTATTGATTTCAAAATAGATAATACTAATAACTGCAGAAATAATATACACAAAACCGGTAGTTATTGATCTCTAAATGCAATATTGTCGTACAAAGAGATCGGTCAAAATGAATCACTGTTGTAGCGGTCTGCGCCTAGCCAGAAAGTACCTTGTTTACTAGGGGAGCATACACAGTAGACTGAGCGGGAGGAACTGAAAAAACGAAGAACAAAAGAAGAGGTGAGCCGACATAATTCACTTACATCTAATAAGAATTGTAAATAAACACCGACCGGTAATCACACAAACTTCCGATTCAGAGAATTTAGGAAACGAAACTAGGAGCGAATAGCGTGAAGATTTTAATCCGTTAAACTATCATTCTAAATCTAAATTTTAAAATTAGCACTATTCTTTCAAACATTTTAAACAAAGGTAAATTTTTTTTAATCACTCCACAGGCCTCAAATCAATTCGTTCTGATGAGATTCTTTATGATTATTTGTCTTTACGAAATCTATGATCCTCATATGCCTTTTCATTCATTGCTAAATCTCACCATTTGGGTGATTGACTTCGTCTTTACATTTGAAGACTGAATCTCGATTGATATGTTCAGGGATTACAGAAAAAATTTCTCTGGCCTTTTTAAATGATGCAGAATATTGCATCGTTTTATTCATGAAACACAAATTAATGTAACTTCACAGTGTAGTTGTGAAATTATTACTAACAATTTTTAAATTTATTTACAAAAACAGAACAATAAATACAACGTGAATTATTATCCTAGCGTTTGGCTTTTTACATGAAGCAAACTTTTCTTACCACGTGCCCTGTGTTGTCAAGATCATTAAATTAAGATTGTAACTTTTAGGTATGGTTAATAAATGTTTTGTCTATATACACATTTATTTCATCGTTTTATTTGCTTCGCTTTATTCAGTAAACAGCCACAATTTTGTGCATTATAAATACAGCCCAACCACAAATGATGTAAGGAAACAAAATATTTATAAGAAAATATTGTGGACCACCAACATGTTTAAGTAAATAGTTAAAGGCAATCAGAAACTATATTTAATCCTGTTTTATTTTATATTTGATTAGGGAATGACTAGTGAAACAGAGAAACACAAATGCAGCTTATCAAAATATCATCTAATTAGGAGTTGTTCACATTGTTACAGACTAAAACGTCTTTTACTACATGAAAAAAAAAAACACCAACACAGATTCAGCCAACTTCTTGTCTCATGAACAGATTATATACTTGATAAATACTTGACGTTTAACCATTGTAATACAAGTTCAATTCCCAGTATGTAATTGTCTAATATTCACTGCATCTGATTTATACAAATTATATGGCATGGATTAGGGCACATGACTGAATACCTAATTTCTGAGATATATATCATATCCTAAAATTAGTAAAACAGAAGTCTGACAGTCAATTTTTTTTATCTTCACTAAATAATGAATTGAATTCATGCTTATGTGTACATGTTAAAACGTGTTACAGAAAATCAAAAAAAAAAACACTGCCTAAATGAACTATAGAATTTATATATAGCTAAAATTATTTATGATAGATGCTTGCACTTTGTATTATCATAAAATGTTACATACTTCAAATGTAGAAGCAATATTTTACTGTATTTAAAGTGAAAAAAAAACAAACGATACTATGCTATTAATCATAACTATCTTGTATAATCAAACCCCTGGTATGTAATCACAGTGGAAAAATAGATATATTCCAATTGAACAGCTCTCTTTATACAGTTAGTGTAAATTAAGTTTTCGTTTGTTTTTTTTAACGTTGTTCAATCTTCAATATTCCTTACATTAACTGCATCTTGTACAAACATATAATACTGGATTCGATCCGTTTAGTTAATAATATTCAGTCTACCTCATTTGAAAGTATGAATGTACGTTGAGAAACTATTCATGGAATTTCTTTTGAATTTATTATTTTATTTTTAAACGAACCACGAATATGATGATTATGTTCTTATTTATTTTATTTTCCTAACTTAGCTTGTTATTATGCTGTAACTAATACTTACTATCAACACAAAGACATATGGATGTCTGCAGAACTGCCATGTGTAAAATGTAAATGTCAGCATGGAAATGTCCATTGTGTTGGTGAACCTCACCAATGTCCATCAGTATGTTTACCAGGTCAATATAGTCAACCGGTTGGTCCATGTTGCCATACTGTGTGTAAAGGAACAGGTAAGTAGAATGCCTGATTTTGATTTATTCATCAAAGGAAACTAGTTTTTTATGCTAATTTAACAGTCAGTAAATGAATTGGTGTTACTTATTAATAAACTAGAATATCACTGTAGTTGTTACATTTTTATATTAGTATAGTCATGGAAACTTAAAAATAATATTTCCTGTCAATATAAAAATTGAAGCTGTTGGGAAATAAAACCTAGTCGCCTATATAAGTACAGAAGAATTATAGTCTCGATTTAGTTATTAAACAATTTTTCACTCACATCTATCAACAATGCCTGTCCAACTGGAAGTTATTACCCCAGAACAGTTATGAAATACTCTTAGGTACAAAAACAAAATTCTGATTGTCATGAATTAGTTAAAAAAATTAAAACAAAATCTACGCGTATTGGTTATCCGAATCTTCCCATTGATGTTTACTACTGTAACTGACCAGTTTCTTTTGGTATATGTGCATCCTGTGTGGACTGTCTAGATATTGCTACTAAATCATAAGTATCTTGGAGTAAAAATGGACAACAGCTCGTAGTGGAATCCGAGTGTGAACACCAGTTCTGAGATACAAATACGTCTTGCTTAACAAACAGGACGAAACGCACTTCCTGGACTCCACTGCTGGCCATCATCCATATCTGTTTAAAAATAAAATCATTTCCAGCAGGAGATAAATGCACTTCGATCCCAAACAACTTTAAATGATGAATTACTTTTCCTGACTGTTACAAAAACATACTTTATGGTCGGCACTAATTGATTAGCTAGTAATATCACTGCCATGATGCATAATCCTTAGTGTTGATCAATCACTGACAATCAGTTGGTAACATCACCTTTTAGCATCTTAGTTCACTTTATTTAGCGTTAGTTGATCTGAGGTAATCGGCAAGAAACTTTAAACCTAAGCATCGTTCTCTCCGGAATGTGTTTACAAAGCCTATCGGCATTCCTGAAAGAACAGATATCTGTATAACCAAGCCTCACAGTTAGGGAAGTTAGCATTAAACTATTAGAAAAACATTTCAAAACTATCAGTGATAATCATAAAACGAAAAGCCAAAAGCTTACAAAAAACGTTCTTCTAAATCATAACGAACATGATATCAGTGTAAAAATGAGAGTTTCAAAAATAAAAAACAAACTGTTACATCCACCGACATACCTAAATTACAATAAATCAGGAATTAAAAAAAAACACTTCTTAAGGTATCGGTTCGGTTCTCAAAACGGAACATGATTAAATTTAGTTGTTTTTAAGAACATTAAAGATAGACAAATATTTTTGCTGTTTACATTCCTTGTCAGTGAGCGAATTCTGAAATCCTAATTTTAAAAAAATGTTACCAAACTGTTACTTGAATGTACCTGATTTGGTTTTGACTCGAATTCAAAAGTAAATTAGTTTGTATTGAAAGTGTTTGACTATCCACAATTAGATATACATTAATCTTCTTGCGTTTATTTCTCAGTCTTACTTACTTTATAATCGAACGATTTAATATTCACATGGAAAAATTCATTCATTCAACTTTATTTCATGCAAATAGTATGGGAAATAGTTTATCCTATCCTTTGATTTGAATGTACTCGTTTTTATGCTTCTTTATGGTAACCAATAAAGATTGTTTTAACAGTTTGAAATGCGAACTAATAAATTAATTTTGTACTTTCTGCTCTTCAAATTAGCACTTTTTTTAATATTCTAGCTTATGTAATAATCTATGTATAAATATACCTGGAAGACTTATTGTAACATCTCTGATTCTATTGTTAACAAAACTCTTGAATGTTTGATTTTGTATAGCTTTAAAAATCATTAGTCTATGCAAAATAAACATTCAAAGATAGAACTAGTGACAAAATGCTTTCGTCTGACAAATTTCAATACTTTTTGCAAAATACTTCGTTTAGAACAAAAAATATGAGAAAAATCTTCCTTGCAAACAATAATTTTTTTGATTTTCACAAAAACTAGTAGGATACAGTAAGTAAAAGAGATAAAGTAAAACTTAATCGGAAATGCAAACATTTTACTGCCCCTGTCTTATCGATTCCCACGTTTCTGCTATAAATACACATAAAAGTTAAATTGTGATGTGAAAAGGATAAGATCTTGCTTTTTATCATTATTTTTTCTAACATAAGAATATGTGCGATCACTTGAAGCTCAGTAATTTTATTCATAGACTGTAGTTAACAATGGAACTTAGAAGGTACGTTTTGTCTCATTTGAGAATTGTCAGTTGGATATTCCTCTGTGAGTGCTTACACTAACATAAACCAATTAACTATGGCTTTAATGCCTTAGCTGCTGAATCCAGTTAACCAATAACTTATTCTACGTAAGTGCGGTTACTCCTAATGTTTTCAGTTCCTTATTGTTGACAGTCACGAGAAGCAAGTCTCAAAAAATGAAGAAATTTGAGAATAAAACTCCACCACTAGACATAATTCCTAAATACAATGAAACTTGCGATGGGCAACGTCGAAGCATCTGCTTAGAGTGCACACATATCATACATAGAATTATCAAATGCAATTTTTAATACCAACAATACACGCAAAACCAATTCGAAGATTGGAACTCTGTGGTTTCTGTTCAAGATTAGTAAATTGTATAGTATATTTTAGGTCTTGAAGTAAAGGTTGATCAACAGAAGTTCAAGAAAATAGATTATCTTTAAGTAAGAAATATTTGACAGCAGATACGCATCGATTAATGGTTTTCTATTTCATGGTTTTAACAATCTGTACTTAGTTTACAATAAAACTTTTATAAATTTATCCATTTTATATCCTAGTATCAAAAGATATTACTTTCGAATTCGCTAGTTGTTTAAAAACTGGTGATGATACATTGCATTCACATGGTGAAATGATCACACTCACGGGTATTTGTGTTGATCAGAAATGCCAGTGTGTCAATGGTCGATGGAATTGTTTCGATTATTGTACACCATTATCAGAATTATCTTGTCCTTCAGATGAAAAAATAATATGGGATCCTTTTTGCTGTCCTAGATGTCGAGGTAAGAAATAATTTAAACATAAAATTTATAAACTTTGAAGAAATATTTCACATTTTAATACTACTGATTGATTGAAATTATAAAATCATAGTGAATGTATATTATCCTAACCAGTGATCAATAAATGAAGTCAGGAAATCTTCTGCGTCATCACTAGTTTCTATAATTCACCAAAATTGTGTTAGTAGTACTATTTATGCTTCTTCACCTTACACTGTCACAATATGCGATGTAGGTGACAGAACTGAAAGCCTAGAACAATTAACACGAATTAAATAGCTACTCAATGAAGACTCATAAATAATTTGCTTCACCGAAAACTACACTTTGTGATGCATTCTGCACATTATGAGCATTATGTTAATAGTAGCCCTGTAGTGAACGAGAACACAGGTGGGGCAACCGAATTGTATCTAACGAAAATTACAGAGTTACTCAGTAAAATCGGAAAACCATATCGTAAATTGTTCATTTGCAAAATAACAGTTCATCATATCGAACTGGACTGTTCCTGTTGCAAAACATCAATCTATTGTCACTATTCATGCGTTTCATACAAATTCCATTGTGTTCTAACTCTATCTTTCTTGATCTTCCCCCATCTTCCGCTGCCAGACATTACGTTGACACTCACGTCATATAATACTTATAAGTAGTTCACACCACAGCCCTATCGTTTTTATCAATAACAACCTAGCTAGCATTATTATAAAGTTTGTTCTTAGTACGGGAGTGATTTTACGTCATCGGCGGTGGACTGAAAGCAAAATTAAATCAAGGTTCGCCAATAAAATGTTCCCTCAGTTTTCGAGGAAGTGATGGCTTCTATGAGACTCGAATGCTCGTCACTCATTTAATTATTTACTAATATCATGTTTACATTTAATGACTGTTTTCTTTCATTAAAACCGAACAGCACTCCATGTTAATGATTTTTAAACATCTTAATAAGACTATTAGAATCACATTTTTTTATTTTGTACAATGATCAGTACTAAACAACACTCCCTAGTTGAAATAAGGGACTTACATTTAATGTATGACAGTCATAACACTTGATGTTAAATTAACTAATAACATAATCCCACCATGTAGTCTAGAATGGGGTTTCAGGAGACCAGCAATAACTGTTCGTGAACTCAAATCGTTTGCATCAGCGGGGCAGTGTGATAAAGGAATGTGAGTAGAGTTAGTTGTGGAGAGAAGAGAGATATTACGGGCTGTAGGAAGAATTTGATTTCGACCCATTCGGTCTCGCGTGCTGTTACGGGTATGAGAGCGGTTGTCACTTCCCGGCTACCCACACCGAGGACGGTTGTTTCTAGACGAACCTGAAAAGCTAGGTAGATTAGTGTTGGTCTTGGAGACCTAGGAGCGTGACTGCAGATCCCAAGGGACAACTGATTGAGGCCGGTCAAGCACGACCTTTTTATGAAAGGTTTTTTGAGTATTAGCTCCGCTCCTGAAAGCCCTTATTGTGCACCCTTACCGACGGAGACGGAAATCCATGAGGTAGGGTGAGGTGTGACATTTTTAGGGTCAACCTTTTCTAACCCTTCCTTCCTTGTGAGAAGGCAGCATCGCCGCAGATGCTGATGTCCGAGGGAAACACCTTACTTCTGTCACACCCCTCTGCAGTCAGCAGTACGACTTCGCCCTCAAACCCTTAGTAGCTGATTTTAGTCTCATCGTTTTCCAATCGACCTTCCTGGCATGGTAGAACCTTCAGGAACATGTGTTCCAGCCAATATAGCTCGTTTGGGTCATCACGATAGGCAATCCCGATCACCACGTCAATGTAACAGCTTCGGTAGGAAACGAGTTCTAGGTAGGGATGGGAAATCAATAGATGAAGCATTGAAACTTCATCAGTTGAGGTGGTTGTGAGATGTGTAACGTGTGACTAACCACCGACTGTCTCGACGAGCTATGTTTTGTGGTGTAGGAGTAGATTGGAAGAAAGTTAGGGGCGGCCAGACCAAAACATGACACAAATCCATGAAGTCACTGACAAGTGGACTGAGTTATGTTGGTATATGTAGGCTACCTGGTTGGGGTCCGCGAGACGAATGTCATCGATGTTTAGAGGCCTTGAACGACATGGCTCAGAATAGTTTGCAATGGCGCAGGTGCATCCACTCTTTGTGTTCTCTTTAATTCTAACCTTCTGAATTCCTCATAATCTCTGTCTTTCTCCTTCTAAATTTATCTCACTGAATTATACTTCTCGAATCATATCTTCGCTCCCTAATCTTCTCCATTACTGCTAATACTTCTATTATTGCTATCACTCTTGGATTTGAACTGACAGTGACGTCTCTGTGCTGATGTGGTATGGCAACCTGAACTGATGTACTTACGTACGAAGTTCTGCGTTGTATCTGCCTAATCTCACCAACAGAAAATTGAAAAGATGTATATCAGGAAAGCAAAAGTAGTAGCATATACAATAATAAATTATAGCTCATAAATATAGAAGAAAACATGACAGTAATATATATAAAATAATATTAGAGCTGAGGATTTAAAAGCATTTAGGAAAAGTGTAAATTTTCACAGCGCACCCGATTTCGAAACATGCCACCCAAATTCTACAACTATTATTCGCGAGTATCACAACGAACATATGGCCTGGTTTTAGTTGTTTTACCGTGATCAACGATGCCAAAGAGGTGTATGAGTGTAGTGCCTCCACATATATTCTAGTTCGCTTACATCTAACTTGGTTAAGCCCTTTCAATTAATGTATTTAACCAAGCCATTGGCATAGCAATAACTTATATGTACCATTCGTTCTTATTATTGTCTGGTTTGTATGAGCTCACATGATGTGTTCCACTTGTCATTTGACCTTGCCAAGTATTCGTCGCTTTTTTTCATGTGTGCCTGTTTCTCTTGTCACATGTCTGTCTTATATTTGTCTGACTATATATTCTTAATCACGCTCTATCTCTGGGAATTGGCTCATTAGCCTTCTCCAACGCTCTTCGCCTGTTCATTCGCGCATTCGCCTATTCGCTCGCTAGTGTGTCTGCCCTGTCTGCTTGTGGTCTGCTATCCCTATTTGTGGTGTGCCAAAATAAACGTATTCAAAACTTCGAGTTCACCTTCTGATTTATAAACCATCAGACGCTATTTAGTAACGATTGTCTGGACGAGCTAATTAACGAACATTAAGAACACGTCGAAATCGGCCACCACAAGAGTAGTCTGGAAGGGGTGGCCAAACCAAAACTTGACACTATTTCATGAAGTGATCGACAACTGAACTGTGTCATCTGGTTGAAATCTTCATGACAATCGTAACCAGTAGTTAGAGTGTTTTAATGGTATAGCCCGAAATCATTTGCAATGGCACAGATGCATACATTCTTTGTCTTCTATCAAATTGTAAGCTTCTGCATTCCTTATAACCATTTTCCCTTTTAAATTTATTTCACTGATTTATATTTTCTCGGATCTTTTCTTTGACTCCAAATCTTTTTCACTACCACTAATACTGCTAATACCAACACAACTCTAAGATTTGCCTCGACCGTTTTATCTCTCTGTATTAATGCGGTATGGTAACTTGAACTGATGGACGTACATACGAAATTCTACATATTAACTGACTGACTGTTTCTCATAAGCAGGATTTTACATTTACGCAACTCACAAATTGAACAAACTGTCGGTTTTACTTCATTTTGTAAATAATAAGCAACTTTGTAGTGCTTGATATTAAGTATCCTGGTTTTATTAGTTTGGTTCATGCTGACCTAATACCATTAGAGTTGTTACCCATAAATGGATAAATATTTTATCAAATTGTTATACTCGTCAATTGATGTGCTTGATCTATTACGAGTTCACCTTAGTCGGTAAACGAGAGCGAAGACAAATGATATAGTGACTCGATAGGCTACTCTAATCCGAGAGTCCCAAGGCCCAAATAAGTATAGGAAGAAGTCTTGAAAAGACATAGAAAGTGTATTCTACACGCACCCAGAAGATATGAGGTTCACAAGCATACAAATCGAGTTTATTTTTACATGATAGAAACTTCCTTGGGAGTGCCACAAAAATAGCGTACTAAAATAACACATCAACCAATGGCAGTCAAGGATTTTCCGGGTCAGCCCATGTGCGAAAGCATAAAATTCAAAATTAGGACCTGTATCAAGTGAGTTCTGCGGATCTAACGTTCCCAAAACAAATCCTTACAATAAATTATTTAATCAGCTACAAATTTAAATCTCACTTGACTTTTAACTGTTCTTATAACTTCACAAGAATCGGTTATTTATAATAAAATTCCATTGTTCATAATGTGGATTTTATTGAATCATCTTCTTACTTTTGTGATTCGAAAATATCCTCCTGGTTTGATGGTAACTTCAATCACAAACTGACACCAGTAGTGAAAGGGAATTCCACATCTGCTTTGTCCTAGTCTGAGCTTCATAAACATTATAAGATCTCAACCATTTTTTAGAATTCAACCTAGGTCTATCAGTACATATGCATACAGAATATGATATCTTAGGACAAACAATGTGAAATTCATTGATTCACATTTTTTGACTTCAAATATGAAAGTCTTGTGCTTGATCAAGTGTGGAATTGTTGGCATATACTAGTGAGAGAAAATATAAAATGAAACAAAACAGTTATCTAATGTTATCTGGTTTTCCAAGATTCTCGAGACGATTCAAGTACATGGTTTTAGTTAGTTAGGATAAAATAAACAAAATTTTTCTTCTTGATAAACATTTTATTCTTTATTACAATACTGCATCATATTTTGATGATAATTACAATTCATGGTAAAGTTTATATTTGTAAAAACTAAAAATCAAACTAACATTTTATTCCCAGGTGACCAAACATGTTCAGTAATTATTGATATGAAAAATTGGTTATCTAATCCAAATGAACAGACTAATAATGTAAATACATTTAAAAAACTCGACTGGAATTCAACACACTGGTCACAATCATCATTCAATAATCAACCAGAACAATTATTACTTGAACCAATTTCAAATGTCAATAGCAATGTGAACAAAGAAATAATTACAATTCAACCTGGACAACAAATAGTATTGGAACAAGGACATTGTTTCTGTTTAAATGCTAGTATTTATTGTCCAAGGCCAGGTGAAATGATTTTGAACTATTTTATCATTATAATTTTCTGCACACACAGATGTACATATAAAAAAAAAAAGAAAATCAAGTTCTGAGAAATATTTTATTTAAAAAGTTATGATAAGATGATGAATAGTATTTATTGTTAATACTATACATAGTTCATCATAGATTACATATAAGTTCATCGAAATCAGAAACTGTGAACTATAGGATTTATGGTTGAAATTCAAACTACACAAGAGTTGATACTTATTCCAATCAGATTCTGAAATGACTTTAGAATGTGTCAATGTTAAAATTCTTAACAATGGTAGAAAAAAAGCATTTACGTCATACCAATAGAATCTGAATTGTATTTAAACTGCAGTTATTTTTTGAATGGTTTGTCTTAAGGACAGATGAATTTTAAATACACCAATTGCACTTATTGACGTGTAATAGTTTATTTATTGAAAGATCAACCTCTTAATATTAAATGGTAAAAAGGTTCATATTACGTACGAAATAAATCGTAGTAACTTGACAGGCTTTTGAAATAACTACTACATTGCCTAACATATGTTCCCCAATCAAATGATCAGATATTAATAATTTCATTTAGTTAATCTTTAAAATAAATTAATGTTCATAAAAATTCACTAAGACTAAAATATCTTAATTCTAGAGTAGAAATTTAAAAAAAATTAAAATCTCACAAAAACTTTTGAAAATTAAAATTCAACTTTTTGAAAATAAGAACAAGTTTAGCATGTAGTGTAAAAATCAAGAAATTAAATAATTTTTGGAACAGTATGAATCATCGGATTGAAGATAAATTAATATGAAAGGATCTATTGATACTGATTTTTAAATCTTCTAAATGTTTCACTTATAGGACAAATGTTAATCTAACAAAAGATGTTCATTGTCTGAAAGGAATAAAATGTTTGATTAAGTCCTGGAATAAACAAGTAGAAATTCCTAGACAGTTTATTTGTTGAGGAATAAAAAAAAATTGCGTAGATGGCCGGGCATTCATGTTTAGCTGGTTAAGTCAGTTAAAATTAACGAGGTCAGTAATGAAGCTAAATATTTATTGAACTATTTCGGAAAACTATTTACCAACGTAACATTTTATACAATTAAAACTATGTAAACAAACTATTCAGACATAGTAAGATAATTCGACTCTTCAGAGTAATTCAGTAAATAATTACAAGCCTTTGCATTGAGTATACAAAGCCTAATAACAGCTAGGGTTAGATAAATGATACCCAGTTGTTTGGTTTATGGTGAATGCATTCGCTAACTAAAAGTCGTTTCATCTACCTATTTTTTAATTAATAATCTGAGAGATTAGGTATAAAGTGATTTACTTTTAAAACCACTTATCATCAGAATAGAATTATTGTCTTTAATTCATGAAAATATCATCAATAAAGACTGATTGTTGTAAATTATATTTTAATAATTAACTAATAAAACTATATTGTTTTAATGATCTCTGCACTCAACAAAAAGCATAGGTCGCCTAATCTGGCATGAAGATGATTGTTTCTATATGGATGGACAAGAAATTTCATATCACGCAGTTGGAACCAGATGGATTCCAGGTGATGATCATTGCACTGAATGTATGTGTGAAATAAATCGAACATATCGTTGTAAACGTCAATCATGTCAACAATTATTTCTCTGCCCACCTGAACAGATACCAATGACAAGTGAGGATGAATGCTGCCCTTCATACTGTGCTCCACCCTCTCAAAAAAGTGAGTTAAAGTAGACGAGTTATAATTCGTAAAATAGAACTGTATTTACATCCCTCAAAATAAAACTCGAATAAATCACAACAATATTTCTCATTTAAAATATTTTCGTGATCAACTATAGTTAGTACGTCAAACATTCTTAAACGATTGCATTAACCTAATAACTAATAATACAACTTTATTTTACTTAATGTATATATATATACATATTTCAGTCTTTCAGTCCATGTGCTGGTAAAACTTGCTCTCCAGATGTAGACTAACGTCTTCCGGAGTCAATCTCGCTAATAAAGGAAATCTATTTCAAGTAAACCAGAGAAACAGAAGTAACCGCACAGTGTTTAAGAAAGGAAGAGTATCACAATTCAATTACTACATACAAATAAACTGTACATTCATCTCCATATTCGAGTGTTTAAAAAATAAGGCTACTATAGCTACAGAGATCACTTCAAAGGATATTTGTTGCTCTAAGTTTTCCTGTCACCTAACATAACCATATGTTTACGTAACTCCTTATGAAGGGCTCATTCATATCACTAACCACTTCATTGTGCATAAAAAGGTTAGTTGGTCCTGTAGACATAAAAACAGATTTTAGATCGAGGTCTATACATCAGATAAGAACGTACAAACAATTATCATCTCATCAAAGTCGACTTCGATATATTTCGCCTTTCTTCTGAAAGTTAGTAGATTCATGTTATAAGGCTCTGAGATATTCACCCAATCACTCCGAAGATTCAGTCGACCACTCACATAGGTCTACGCATGAACAAATTACACACTGAAGCTTATGCAACTAGTTTGAAACCCGACCAAAAAATCGATCATTTTGTTTCCTCTCTTTACAATGGCATTAATCTTATCGCATTTTCTCTTTTCTTAGTCTTAATACAGATATTCTCATTATTGTGTTTTTAGGAAAGATTTTTCAATTTACAATTTTGATTACAGACCATACCGTCTTAATTTTAAATTTCAGACTAAACATGCTCACGATTACACTTGGTACCTACTTACATATAAAATATTTTCTACATTGCAAAAGCCTCTTCATTATTTACTGAAGACCATATATATTGACTGAACAGCCCTAAAATTAAACTTAGTGAAAAGTTTTTTTTCGGTGGACTTGTTTCATGAACATTCATATTAATTAAATGAATAGTACCATGCTCACCTCAAGAATCATTAGTTTGTTTTCTAAGATATAGTTCACATGTACAGAAGTTTCGTTGACTTATTTAAGAATGAAGTATATTCAATATGTGCTTTTAGATCGTGAATCGATTTCAGCTGATGTCAACTGAACTGTCTAAGACGCTCTAAGCAAAACACTGATGGTTCGAGCACTAATGGGATCGCGTGTATTGATGAACTAGTCAGTGGTCTTTGGTATCATATAATTGTCATCTGTGCGAACATGAAGTGTCTCCTTAGAAAATCTCTTTGACTATTCAAGTGGAGTAAAATCTTCATCGTAGATTTGTGAAAATTGCTGAGTTCTATTGAAATCATAAATCGATTGATGTTAGACCACCGTTAGAATCTGAAAATACTAAACAGCCGCCTCGTCCTAGTATGGTAATCATCAGCAGTGAGCACTCACGAGCTCCACACACGCGGACCCGAACCGGGACCTTCAGTCACTACACTTCTATATGAAGTTTGTGCTGATGTTCAGAAGAACAATGAAAGCTCCACAACCAAAACATCCAGCTGAACGAACGAAACACCACCACGATCATCCACCTGAGCTAAAAATTTTCTCCACTATCTTCGGTCTCGCACGAACGTTTAACCCCTAAACCATTAAGCCTGCATCCAGCAGCGTTAATTCCTGATGAGTCCTGTATTAGGACAAAAACACCGCCCAGCGCTTACAGGTCTTCATCTGGTTTGAGAAAAAGACAACCGAGTGATCTGTCCAAACACTTTGCAATAAATTAAATGACGAAATTCGAAGTTGGGATCTAATTGATCTCTGTGATTATTTCTGACACTATTAGTCTTCGCAGCATAATTTGCCGCTATCGATGATCCTAAGTATATTGAATATTGATATTATGAAGAAGAATGAAACAATGAACAGATAATTACTTTAAGATCTTATTCAGTCAACTTTGTATACTGAGTTAAAAGAAACACAACTCAATTCATAATTAAAATTTTTTTATATAAAATCCTAAATAGATTTTCCCGTCACTACCTTCTCCATCAACTAATCAACACCAACAGTTGTATATGAAGTATACTTTTCAAGCTATTTTATTGTTTTAGCCTCATTCAGGCCTTTCATTTACAGTGAAATTCGCATTTCATTTAAATAGTCCGTCCCGTTTAATGCTTAGTTGTTACAAAGCATTATCCTCTTACTATTAACGCATGTTGGATTTAAATTAAACCGTAGTAGAGCATCAGATATTTTTATCCCAATGGTAGCATAAAGTTCAGCAACCAGCTCCGGAATCCAAGGCGGTATTCTAAACTCTCTCGTACTGATAATTTGAAATTACCTACATCCTACTGTCTAAATGTCGATTAGCTTAAATTCTGAGTTAATCGGTTCAAACACCGAAGCAGTACTTGCGAAGACCACCACACCTCGTTATTGATATTAAGGAGTGAATTATTGTCCACATTCATGTGCTCGCAATCCCGACTAAACTGTGACTTTGTGAGAAGCGTTCATGAGTATTTCATTTCCTAATTTGCTCGTCCAATGATATAAAAGTTTGCATATCAGTATTTCCCAAAATTTACGTTGGTATACGATGGTATACCACTAGCTATACTTTGTCATATGGTGGCTTAATAGTTTAAATCTTCGGCCTTTAACCACTGACTTCAAAATTCGAACCACTCTCTGTTTCATTCGTCTTGTGCAATAAGATTTACAATTAAACTGACTGAAGAAACTAGGCCTTTATTACCCGACTAGATTAGGCTTCAGTAGATTCGATTATGTATGCACTTTTAAAGGTTAAATTTGACAAAAAGTCAAACTGATAAGATTATCTTTATAATTCGTCATTAAATCTTTACTTAGTTTCTAATTTTGTTCTTTTTATCCAGATCAAGAAAAACCAAACAATTTCAATCAGGATATTCAGTATAACGATGAGTTGTATACTGATTCCGTGAAATCCCAAAATAAAATGGTCCAGATATCAATGGACGAAACTACCCAACAGAAACCATCACAATTGTCAACACGTAACACTGGATGTTCATCACTAATAGACAATGAAAATATCCTACAATATCCAGATGTCTTTCCTTCCGGATCACGTCTTTTATTAATTCGTACATGTCGTAGTTTACTATGTATATGTGCCAAGGACAATAGATGGGTTTGTACAGATCATTGTCCACCATGTGAACAATCTATGGAATCTATTGAAAATTTACGACAAATATTACTCCCACCAAAAGATAAGTGTTGTGAACTATGTAAGTAGAATCATAATTTATACTTTCTTACTGATGCATACAAAAACATTAATTTTATAATTAATTGATTACACTACTTCAATGTCATAATTTTATTGTTGGGTGATAAGCCGTTTAATGGTTAGTTTAAATCTTTAATACAGTAATTACATGAGCTATATATATATATATATATATATATATATATATATATATATATGCGAGAGAAATTGGGTGCTACAATCAATTAACAAACGCAATATATCAGCGAAGTGAAGCAATCGATTATCCGTAAACGAGAATATCAAACAAAAATTAAGCAAATTATGAATTAGCAATTATATACACAGTGATAAATTTCACTTAAATGCATAGATAGTTTTAAAAAAATAATGTTAGCAAATCAATGATGATATTACACCAGGTAGATAGGAATATATTCCGTGTATATATTCAAAACTTCAATTCTTATTCTTCATTAGAAGAATTGATGCACTAAAATAAAATTAAAATAAAAACTGTTTATTTATACATTAAATTGTTGATCAATTTAGTGTACATTTAAATTTTATGTTCGGATAACTGCCATTCGTATCCACTTAAAACAAAAGGAAAATGAGCAAGTTCACTCACCATATTGCTGCTATATCTGTATTTAATTTAATTTATATATATAATTCACAAGACTAATAAAAAAATGAACTTTGTATATCATATCATTATTATTACTACTGCTATTATTATTATTATAAACAAATAATTTCACATATGAACTACATTCTGACAAGGAACAAATAAACAGATAATATTACAAGTATTCACTATAAAACTAATCAGATAAAATAATGTTAAAAAAAAATAAATAGTATTTAATTTACCACATAAAAAGATACGTGTAGTTAACATGAAGCTACATTCTAATTATGAGAGCTAATGATATTAGCTGTTTGCTCGAAGAGAAGTAGTAGGTGGGGCTGGGTTCGGACTTGCAACCCTAGAGATTGAAAGTCAAACAACTTGACCAGTGAATCACAAAACCATTGGCAGAATAATTCCATCTAATTTCAACTGAAATAACCACAGATATTCAATTGAAGGGGTAATATGTTTATGAAAAAGTTAAATTAGACAATTCCTTCAAGATCACACAGAACAAGCTGTCAAAAACTGAAAAGAAATGTTGCATCTATAATACCGAACACCTGTGATTTTCTACAAATAATAGAAACTAGGGACTCTAGTTACCATAATACTTTTAAGGCGTCTAGCTGAATGTGAACTAAGATAAATTTTTCACTGCATTAGGTATGCGAAATCAATTTAACTGAACTCCTATCATAAGAAAAAACAGCGAAGGAAAAAACAAACAGGATGTAAATTTCACATGTTTAAACATTCAGAGTAAAGTGAATTTTTCACTTATTTCCAAAGTGCTCATGGAAAGTATAACAACATTATTAATGATGATAATAATAATAAACGAATATAGCTAATTTACAAAGTACGACTTTGTGTATGTGGTTTTGAGTCACATTGTCTGTATCGTTTAAATTTTTATTTAGGCAATGAAAAAACAAATACCGTGCACATAACTAGCCCACTAAGTCAGAATAAATTGAAAAGTCAAAAAGAAATTATGATTCAAACAAGTAATCAAACAAATTTGCAGCATTTAACTAATGAACAAACGCATAAAGAATATATTTCTACAGAAATAAAACAACTCAAATTAACATTGAAAATGTATATTTTAATATTTAGCATAATATTGATATGTATGTTTGGATTACCAATCTCTATCTTAATTGGATGTTATTTGATGAAAAGTCGGTATTTTTATCAAAATCATCATCATCATCATCCGCATCAAAACAAACGCAAAAGTGATCATTATCAGTATACTACTACTACTGTTGCTACACCGAAAACAACACGATCAAGATATCGGCACTATTATCATCGGTGTTATTCACGCGTTAAACCGTATCTGTTAAAATCACATGATTATAAAAAGGATCAATCGGAACTAGAAGCGTCAATAGAAACGCCTATCTCAGCGTCCACAACATCATCACTGTCATCAATGTCACCATCCTCATCACCAGTTTTAATATTAAGAGAATCTTACAGAAAAAATAATCGACGAAATTATAACGCGGCATCAATGCCATCAACAACAAAAATAACAAAAGTATCAGAAGACAAGTGTAACCCGAAATCTATTCAACAGCATTATCGACATCATCAGACTAAACATGTAAACGCCAACAAACAGGAGAATACGACTGTCAATAGCGACGATACAAAATTAGTTCAACACACATCGATAACACCAAAGGTTAAATTAAACGAACTTGTTAATTCAGGCGATTATTACAACAGTACTGTTAGTCATAAAAATCATGATAGTAAAAGTCATAGTCTTATTAAAAAATTCAGTGATTATATATTTCCAACAATGACTACAACAGCAGCAAAAACTACTAATTCACCTGTGATTATCAGATTGAAAACATCGAATGAGACAAACTATCCATTGAAACAACAACAGCCAAATGTAAACACATCATTATCTATGAATGATGATAGTGATAACTATAACATTAATAATAGTGAAAATCATCAAGCAATTGAAAGTAAACATGTAAAAGATGCACTTTTACAACAATATGAAGTAAAACCTATAAAAGCGAGAACAACATCGGCTTCAGAAGATAAAACAAACTGTAAATCAATAATGCACCAACAGAGAAGTCCAAAAGAAATACTATTAAAAAACTTGATATTATCAACAGATATTAATAATAAAAATAAACATACTACTTATAACAATAATAATATTCATGATAATAGTAGTCAATGTATATCACACATAAAAAGTGAACCATCTACACCAAATATTTTTATGCATAATGTAACATTTAATTCGTATTATTCTGCTACATGTTCATCTCCTTGTTGTTCTCCTAGTCCAATTATGGTAAGTAATCATAACAGTTCACAAGATAAAACCACAACAATAGCTGTATTAACTATGAATAATCCTAACTATGAGAATAGTAATAATAATAATAATGATAATAAACAAACAAATTTAATTGAGCAACAAAAAAATAAATTGAACATAGTAGAGTGTGATAAAATAGAAGCAACAATCGTACAAGAAAACATGATATCATCACAAGTGGTTGATAACAAGTTGAATAATCCACTAGAATGCAATATAACAAAAGTCAATCATGAACATGATGACAATCATGCATCGAAAGTGATTGAAAAAACAAAACAACAGACAGAGAACTTGAATTATGATCATAATCAAATAATATGTGATAAAACGAGTTTAAATGAAGAAATATATTGTACAGAGAATAAAATTGATAATATGAATAATGACGATACTTCATCGATACATTTATTAACTGAATCGAATCAAAACATGCCATTATACACTTACTATTATCAACATTCTGAAAACACAAACACTACTCCCAGAAAACAGAAAATCTGCTCAGATAATAATAACAATGATAATAGTCGGAGACCAGTTACATGGCCAACTATACAGCATTTCACATCTGATCCTATTCTACACAGATGAATAAATATACACATACCTTTATACATAAAATACAAATTCTAGGCTATAGTATACTCATCACCACAACCATTCTTTTTTTTATATTACACATTTATCGTTACTATTATGATTATCACCATCAATAAATAATCAAGCAGTTAAAAAAAACCCCATTCATTTACATACATGTGTACACATATATTACAGCTTTGCTTACACTTTCATTAATTTTTCTTTTTGTTTTCATTCGATTTTCTCTGTTGTTTATTTTTACTTTACATATACAGAGAGAGAACGAGAGACAAAGATTGAACTACCTACCTTAAACATATATCTTAATGAGTAAAAGTGTTAATTTTACACCATTATCACTCTTTTTTACTTTTCTTAGACAAATGAGATTTTCATTGGATAACTCATAAAGAGTTCTACTCTGTTAGCACTGTTTCAAACAAACACACTGTTCTAATAAATCATACGTATCGTGAGAATATTTTACGCATATCAAGGAAAGAAAGTAGAGAGATAAGAAGAATATATAATATGCAGTGTTGTCATACTAAACTATAAATGGTCAGGTAAATTTAGAGTTGATTAGCTTAGAATTTAAAAATTAATAATTCCCAGTAAGCGTAACGAACAATATCAAATATGGACTGGTAAATAAAAAGCTTTTTACTTGAATTGAAGCTAACTATTCTCAAGAAATAAACAGCATGATAATTAACATTAATATCTATACTTTCATAGTACACGTGTACCGTAAGCATATAATAAACTAGTTAACATTCCAATAAAAAAGTACATTTATACTTGAAATCTAAAAGATAACAATTGCCAACTGAGTTTGAATGCAATCATTAGACTGTGAGCCAGATGTATATACGTTTGGTTAACAGTGATCTTTCTATATCACCCATACTGAATATGTCCAGTTACTTTTACAACACAGTTACATTTAAATGTGTGTAAATAATCGAATAACATTCAGAATTTTGAATAAAAACTAGATTTATTGTTAGCACAAACGACTACAATACTAACAATCCCATCTAACTCTGTATCGTAAAATGATAATGAGTAAACTTTATTTGAAATCAACAGCAAAATGAAATTAAACAAGATTTCCTTAAAAAAGCAGAGCATAGTAGTTACGGGACAAATAGCATATTATATGGTCAATACATACCAAAACACTAACTATGTACGAAATTTCTTTGGGTGACAAACAAATAAATACAAATGCAGTTCATCTTTTCCTGTATTTCAATAAAAATATTTATTTGGGGAATAATTAGAAAGAGAACTAACAGTAAGATATTTTCACTTGAAAAAAAATACAAAAAGTTCGAAAAAATCTAACATGTAACATTTGTTGGGTGTGTGTAATTGTCCAACTACTTTATTTGATTTGGATTCAATTACCAATAATAATAATAATATTCATCAGCTTGAGGTATCTAACTGAATAAAATAGTCTTTTCGATTGTAATGTACATATTGTTTTTAGTTCTCTCTATCAATAAAAAGTATCAAGATAGTTACGTGAAAATATTTACGACGACAACTGCGATCAGAAGAACCAGTCATTCTATCGAATAAAAATGAAATCTATGTTCCATGTCTCTCTTACACATAATCTTCAACTAATTAATAAGGAATATTTCATCTTATTCTATTGCTAATTCGTTATATTTTATATTACATACAAACAAATTATGGTCTTATTTAGAATTAGCATGGTTGTAAATAAACCAATACTACATTTATAAGATAAGAAAGCTTGTTATTTATGAAATTACCGTCGAGTTTATACTTTTTCCAATGCATGAACTAAACCTTTAGATGAAACAGAACAACAAACTTCATGGAAATATTTACCCGCAAAAAGAGACCAAATTTCACCAGAACCTACAATCACTAGCTTAGTGTACGTAAAATAACTAATATGATGCATTATTACAAAAATTTTGTTGAAAAGATATAAATTTTCGGAGAATAAGCAGAAACTTGAAGAAATTTTAAAATTCAGTACCGCATAGCAAACGTTCACCGAAGGTGCTTGGTAAATTTACCTGCTCATGATAAGCTTTGACACGCTCACACCACAGCTCCCAATAGTGTAATAAATTAGTTTCGTCCAAAACAAACCGAGCAGCAGGATAACCATCGCTATAAGAATAGACCAGCATACCTTTTTTGACCTAAGTCAGATTCAAAACACATTAATGTCATTTATGTTGAAATAGCAATGGATTAAAAATTAAGAAAAGTGGTTAGAGATTATAAGGATATTTTTAATTGTGCATACGGTGAATGAATTTCTCCAGAAACACATTGGACCAACAAAATGATTGAGTATACAAGGAGATGCATCGTTTCCAAACTGCATAGATTTAATTAGTTGCTTAAGATGGACTTTAAGTCAAAGCAACCTCGTAGTCATAAGCTATTCCAAGTAGGCTATAAATTAAAGTGACGTGATAATACACGAAACACTTATATCACAGCCACCACACCGCTGGGTCAGATTTTGACTTAGCTGACAACTGCATTTAGCCATTGTTCTGTAACAAATGAGAAAGGGATCAATTTGTTTTGTTAACCGTGCATGGGCTTAAACTGTCCGCATTTTTAGATTGTGCAGATTTATTAGTCTTTACGTTCAATGTCAAAAGTTAATTCACACGCATTAAGCCAAGTATTAAATTTTGCCCTAAACAGTTATTTTAACTGTTCACCAGTCCAGCCTTAAGCAGCTTAAGATAACTTGTTTTAATTTTATACATCAATAATTACAAGAAATAAATGCAGTCACCAAAATAGTTACTCTTTCGCGCAGCCACTTCAATAAAAATAGTCATACTATAGATAAGAAAGACAGATAATCAGGGGTATGTAACTAATCCTGTTGGTGAAAATTTCTAAGTCTTACAAAATACATTCGACATACTAAACAGTACATATGTGGTGCGCGCTACTTATAAGTAATATATGACGCGAGTGAAAACGTAATGTCTGGCAGCAGAAGATGGGGGAAGATCAAGAAAGGAAGAGCGAAAACACAATGGGAATTGTATGAAACGCATGAATAGTGAAATGTCAGACAATGGATTGATGATGGATTGAAGATTTGCAAATTAACGGTTACGATATGGTTTTCCTATTTTACTGAGTAACTCTGTAATATTCGTTAAATAAAATTCGGTTGCCCTCACCTGTGTTCTCCTTCACTACACATATACCTTAGACGTTTCCAACTAATTAATATTGGAAAGAACAGAAAAGAGCAAACAACGACATATGAAAGGACACCGTGAAGTTAAATTAAAATAAATTCAACATTGATAATTTACGATGAAACAAGACATTAGCACAAATAGCGCAACATTGATACACAAACCCGACCGAAGCTGGTACCATGACGTGGTGGTCGGGCTTGACTATCGTGATGACCCAACCGAGCTATATTGGCTGGAACATATGTTCCTGAAGGTTCTACCATGCCAGGCAGGTCGATTGGAGAACGATGAGACTAAAAGCAGCTACTCAAGGTCTGAGGGCGAAGTCGTACTGCTGACTGTAGAGGGGTGTGACAGCAGTAATGTGTTTCCCTCGGACAACCAGCATCTGCAGCGAATCTGCCTTCTCACAAGGAAGGAAGGGTTATAAAAGGTCGACCCTAAAAATGTCACACCTCACCCTACCTCACGGTTTTGCGTCTCCGTAGGTAAGGGTGCTCAATAAGGCCTTTGAAAGAGCAGAGCTAATACTCAGAAAACCCTTCATAAAAAAGGCCGTGCCTGACCGGCCTCAAGCAGTTGTCCCTTGGGCTCTGCAGTCACCCTCCCAGGTCTCCAAGACCAACACTAATCTACCTAGCTTTTCAGGTTCGTCTAGAAACAACCTTCCACGGTGTAGGCAGCCGGGAAGTGACAACCGCCCTCATACCCGTAACAGCACACGGGACCAAATTGGTCAAAATCAAATCCGTCCCACACCTCATAATATCTCTCTTATCTCCACGACTAACTCTTGTATCATTCCTTCAGATCACTGTACCGCTAATACAAGCGATGCGAGTTCAGGGAACGTCATTCTTGGTCTCCTGAAACCCCGTTCTAAACTGCTTCTTGGAGCACCTAATATACGGACATTATGTCAAATAGGGCAACAGACTTCCTTAGCTAGAACTTTAGAATCTCGCTCCATCAATGTGTGCTGCGTCTCGGAAACGCACACGCAGGATCCTAGTAAAGTCATTAATCTGATTTCACCTTATCAAAACAATGAGGAAGCCCGATTTACTCTTCGTGTATCCGGTAGCCCTGATTCTGCTTCCAAGGGTCTTGCTGGTGTAGGCATAACATTGAGTCGTAGGGCAGAACTAGTTCTCCTAGACTGGATCCCTGTAGATAGTCGCTTGTGCGCCGTCCGACTGAACGGGACAGTAAGGACACGGAAAGATAGGGACACTTGCCGTTGCCCCTTCATCGTATCTGCCTATGCCCCCACTGACTGCAGTTCAGACGAGGTGAAAGATGAGTTTTACAGACAGCTTCCGCACCTACTCCAAAAAGTTAGGCATTCTTATGTAGTTACAATGGTTGGTGACTTTAATGCTCAAGTAGGTACACTAAGTGAAAATGAAAGACACCTTGGCGGATGTTATGGTGTCGTGGCTCAGAGAACAGACAATATCTAGCAAACACTAACTTCAAGCATAAGGAAAAACATCTCGACCTGGCGACACCCGAAGTTGTCTAAACGTTGTACTTAACTAGACCAAATCGCTATCAGCAACCGATAGAGGGGTTCAGTAGAGGACTTTCGCTCGTTCTGCGGCACTTGTTTAGATTCAAATCATGCCCTAGTGCGAGCGCGTATTTGTTTGGGGATTACTGGACGTAGGAAAGACACCGCAAGGTAACATGTTAGGGTTCTACCTAATGGTAGCATAGCTAAGAATAAATTTCAGGAGCAATTAAAAAGACAGTTAGGAGGCCATGTAAGCGATTCCCCTCCGGAAGCAGGTTGGAATGATATCAAAAAGGCTGTGGAAATAGCAATGAAGTCTGTTAGTGATGTAAAACATAAGGCTAGAATGAAGCCATGGATCTCTGTAGCATCCAACGAACTGATGGATGCTCGAAAACGCATCCCACCTGGCTCTGAACATGATAAAAGGCTGATAAAAAGCCTGCGCAACGACCGTGAACAGTGGTGGGTGGAGAAAGCAAGAGCGATGGAAAAGGCAGCGGCGATAGGCAATAGTAGACTTTTCCGACTTATCAAGGAAACTGGTATTAGGAATCCTAGTGTAAGTGAGACTGTCTCGGAAAATGATGGGTCTATTATTTATTCTCAATCCAGGAGACTGGATCGATGGGCAGAACACTTTAGGGATCAGTTCCAATGGCCTAGAGCCACTCTTCGGTTACCCACGATCTCCAGTCATTCTGAATGGCAAATCGATGTAAGTCCCCCTAGGTATGGTGGAACCTTCAGGAACATATGTTCCAGCCAGTATAGCTCGGCTGGATCATCACGATAGTCAAGCCCGACCACCACGTCAAGGTAGCAGCTACGGTCGGGATTCGAGTGGTCTCAATCACTGATTGTCCCAATCCATGAGAAAGGACAAAAGTCTATTTGTGACAATCACAGGGGAATAAGGCTAACTAATATTGTATCTAAAATATTGGCCTCAATAATACTTCGGAGCTTAACAAAAGCTCGTGAAGAGCAGACTAGAGAAAACCAGGCTGGTTCCTGACCTGGAAGTGGATGTATAGACCACATCTCCACACAAAATATTGGCCTCAATAATACTTCGGAGCTTAACGAAAGCTCGTGAAGAGCAGACTAGAGAAAACCAGGCTGGTTCCTGACCTGGAAGTGGATGTATAGACCACATCTCCACACTAAGACAGGTCCTGGAACACACACACATTTAGGCGTCCTACAATAGTTGTATTCGTGGACCTAAAGGCGGCATTCGACTCTGTGAATCGCGAGGTTCTGTGGCAGTGTCTGTCATTGAAATGTGTACCAGAGAAATACATTACCTTATACAAGCCCCCTACTCGAACATCACTGGTCGGGTGAGAGCTTGTGGCGAATTGTCACCGGAATTCTCCACATCAAGTGGTGTCCGTCAATGATGTCTACTCTCTCCATTCTTGTTTAATTTTATCATAGACATGCTCCTAGAAATAACCTTATCCTCGTCTGAATTTTCTGGAGTAGACCTTTTACCAGGAGGCTCGCTTATCGACTTAGAATATGCCGATGACATAGTTCTATTTGTTGAAGATGCTGACAAAATGCAGTCTTCTGACCACCCTAAGCAACAATGCAAGCATGTTCGGGATGCGGTTCTCCTCCTCGAAATGCAAAATGTTGCTTCAAGATTGGGTTGCATCGGCACCTGAACTAGTGATAGGAAGTGAAGTAGTCGAACGTGTTGATCACTTCACTTATCTTGGGAGTCCCATCAGTGCTGGTGGCCTGGTGACTGACGGAACATCAGCTCGAATACAGAAGGCTCGATTGGCTTTTGCCAACCTGCGTCACTTATGGCGTAGGCGAGATATCCGTGTGCTAACCAAAGGACGTGTGTACTGTGCAGCAGTTCGCTCCGTCCTACTATACGGATGAGAAACATGGCCGTTAAGAGTAGAGGACATTCGTAGTCTTCGATCATTGATGTCTGCAAAGCATTGCTCGTGTATCATAGGACCACCGAGTAAGCAATGCTGTCGTTAGGAAACGAGTTCTAGGTAAAGATGGCAAATCAATAGATGAAGTAGTAAAACTTCATCATTTGAGGTGGTTGGGAGATGTGTTACGTATGCCTAACGACCGGCTGCCGCGACGAGCTATGTTTTGTGGTGTAGGAGTAGGTTGGAAGAAAGTTAGGGGCAGCCAGACCAAAACATGACACAAATCCATGAAGCCACTGACAAGTGGACTGAGTTATGTTGGTAGATGTAGGCTACCTGGTTGGGGTCCGCGAGACGAAAGTCACCAATGGTTAGAGACCTTGAATGACATGGCTCAGAATAGTTTGCAATGGCGCAGGTGCATCCACTCTTTGTGTTCTCTCTAATTCTAACCTTCTGAATTCCTCATAATCTCTGTTTTTTTCCTTCGAAATTTATCTCACTGAATTAAACTTCTCGAATCATATCTTTGCTCCCTAATCTTCTCCATTACGGCTAATACTTCTACTATTCCTATCACTCTTGGATTTGAACTGACAGCTGCGTCTCTGTGCTGATGTGGTACGGCAACCTGAACTGATGTACTTACGTACGAAGTTCTGCGTTGTATCTGTCTGTCTGTCTCTGTCGAGAAACAAAACAATAATCCAAGTATGATAATACGCTTTACAATTACCAATTATGAAACTGATATGAACTAATTGGAAACGGACTCTTATTGTTCCCAATACTAAGAACTCAGACGATTTGTGAGAAAAAGACAATACTTTTGTCGTTGGACAGTTACAGTCAATCACTAAACAATGGGTAGTAGACTGACATTCGCATAGGCTACGAGTAAGCCATGGATGCATACCATATTTTCTATGTGGATCCTGAAATGTGAATAATGGCAAAGTTGGACAGTCTACTTACATCTATGTAGGAGTGACCTGTTTATATAATAAATGAGACCAGACTTAGAACAGGGTCCACTTTATCAAGCCATCCACTATTAGATTAAGTGGCGTAAAAAAGCACAGACGTTTAGGTTATAGCCTATAAATTAATCGCAACATACAGTTGGATATTTCGATCGATATGGCTCAAAATCTAACCCACTAGATCAGATTTATTTATTAATTGGCCTTCCAATTCATGAATATTGTATGACTGAAAGCTTTTCGTTCCTCCAATTTCATGGACTTCGTTTTTTACCCGTAATCTTTCACCATTGATGGTACTGTTTTTTACTACTTGCTGTTCCTTACGTTAATATTTTTTACCATCTTTAAATGAATTGTGACAACTTAGACTAATGCACTTCTTACAGTTTGATTACTCGCAAAATAAGTAACTAATACGAAAATACTTTCATCTAACAGTTCTCTAAGTAAAAAGGTACCTGAGAAAGAAACTAAAACCAGTTACGCTGTTCACATCCAGCAGTTCCTTCGTTTCGAATAGCAATTCTAAAAAACGTGAACTTACGGGCAGAGATTCAGGATAACGAGAAAAATTGTAAGCTCCAATATATGCAGCAACTTGTAGTGGACTATCATAAGCCTGATCAATAGTCAATATCCTTTTGGATTCGTGTACTGTTTTCCATTCAGTCAAAATAGGTTCATTTATATCGCTAAATTTCACACAGTAAATTATTTTATATTGGAAAAATGAAAAAGGTGAAGTGATAGTTAAATAAAATGGTTTACACTTGGTCATTTATCCTATTTTACGAATCAAGATTCAAAATAAATAATTAACCCGAACTCCTGTCAGCAACCAAGTGGTTATATACCCTGTTTCGCGCTAGATGTGAGAGGGGAAATAAAATCGAAGTAGAAATGGAAAATTTCGGACAAGTAGCTCAACATTCGAAAGTTTCTTAACCACTGAACCATAATTTCACTACGATATTTATTAGCTGCAGTTTGAAATACTGAACATGCATCCCTTAGGTTAACAACAAAACCATAATATCGTTAAATCGGTCTGCGAAAGCTGTTACAACCACGACCTTTATCACCTGAAACGTCACTGCAAAATATAAGGTCTGACCACTGAATAGTAAGAAGTTAAGGTGGTTGAGACATGTGTTACGTATGTCCAACCACCGACTGCCTCGTCGAGCTATGTTTTATGATGTAGGAGTAGGTTGGAAGAAAGTTAGGGGCAGCCAAGCCAAAACATGACACAAATCCATGAAGCCACTGACAAGTGGACTGAGTTATGTTGATAGTTGTCGACTACATGGTTGAGCCCGCGAGATGATAGCAATCGATGGTTAAAGACCCTGAATGACATGATTCAGAATCGTTTGCAATGGTGCAGGTGCATCCACACTTTGTGTTCTCTCTAATTCTAACCTTCTGAATTCCTCATGTTTTTTTCCTTCGAAATTCATCTCACTGAATTAAACTTCTCGAATCATATCTTTGCTCCCTAATCTTCTCCATTGCGGCTAATAATTCTACTATATATATATATATATATATATATATATATATATATATATATATATATATATGGTTGGAATTTGTTCAATGTAGTCTATCACAGTAAGAGTACATACAACAAATACAAGCTTAGGAAATCCCAGTGATAACAAACAATCAATAAAACAAGAATTCTGAATCCAAGATACTTTTAGAAATTTGTTTTAAGCCACAGCATCTCTCAAAAATAAATACATTTTGTAGAGAAATGTGTCAACAAGATGGATACTTGGGATATCAACAGAAAGTTTGGCAAACATACAAACTTGAAACGAAATAAAAAGGCTCTTATGAGTTTGTAGTCTAAACTTACTTGAAAAACACTATACTGTCAAACCTTCCACGATACTTAAGCCGAGGATGAAAACAATTAGTTTCCATTTCAGAAGACTTTAAATTATCCAAGATATACTTCAGACTTTCACAGTATTTGGAAACATTTTCAGGTAGATTAGAGGGAAACTCGCCTTTCCGAAGTCGTGTTTCTACACTGGAATGAACAGCTTTTCCTAAACACTGAAGTTCTATTTAACAAAAATATGTCTAATGGTATTTACCTCTCATGTACTCTTGAAATCCATCTTCACCGAGTTCGGTTTTCTTCTTCTCCTGCCATTTTCGGAGTGCAATTGTGCTTTGCAAAGGTGCCGTTTTACTTAGTATAGTGGACACTGTTGGAACACTACGTAAATCTGGCTGATTCCCGTCAGCATGTTTACATGTGTTCCATGAATCAAAGATAGAAATTCTAAACGGCTCGTTAGAAATGACAGCGAAGCCACGCTTGAGAATCTTAATCAAACTATAATCCAATGGTTAACTAAAGTGCTAACTCACTACATTTGGGCTTGCCCGATGTTCATTCAAACGGAGAATAATTCAACTCTGGCAAACTGAGATAACTACCAAAGAGGTAAAAAAAATTCCAAATGCTGGTAAATTGTGATTAGTACCTAAAATATAAAACGGATGATATCAGAATACTAATAACACATCAAACACTTCACTTATTTCCAATGTTACTCTTGATTTCTGAATGTATTAATAAACCTAGGTAAATGGCAAAACCGAATGCGGTATGATAGTTTACCTAGTTGAAAAAACGTGAAACAATTGCTTAGTTCTGAATCCTGGGAAAACCAACTCGAGTAAGGTGAATAGCTCCCTACAACCTTTAATACCATATTGGTTAATTACAACTAGAGTCAGTAAGTAAGCGTTTGGATACTTATCTATCTGACCAATGACTAGGCAGGATTGATAAACCTGAACAAATGCTTCCTCGAAGCCGAATCGTTACATGACCATAGTAGCTATTCTACATTAACAGCGATTACAGGAACCACCCCAACGTAAAACAAAGTAATGAATTGGGTCAGGATATAGGATTAGGATTTCCATCATGAGCTGAAGTCGGCTATAATACAAGAACCTTATATCCTAGTCCTAGCACAACGAACGATTTATCTTTCCCTGTTGCCTCCCGTTCAAATAACCAGGTTAATATATCAGTATTGTTCTAGTGCATAGTACGGCTTTAATGTACCATTACTATCGAAGATCCACATCTGACTGCCCACAGACGCCATTGGATTCATGATGCAATAAAGTCCAAAGTGTATTAAAATGCTCTTTCTGATTCTGTACTAATATTGATACTGCAGTCATGCACCTGGTGGGTCTAAAACTACATGGTCCTATCAAAACACAATTCTTAACGACCACTGCAACCTTGGATTTCAAATGATTGGTGTTATTCAATAACCAATATCTAACATACTCATGAGCTAGAACAAAACAATTTGTTTATTTGCGCTAACTTCTTGCTGTTTTGTTATAGTCCCAGGTATTTAGTAATGTCCAATTGATGGTCGCCTACATACGTGACTTCACCAATTCTAGCTAATTGGCAGTTCTTGATGAATTAGTATATTCAATGATTTGAGTGAGTGTGTTTGTCTCAGAGCAGTAGGGTTTCTGGATACCAGCAGTTCACGTGTTACCAGGCCGCACATCAGCTAGTTGCAATGTAGGAAATAATAAAGAGGGGATGCTAATACCAAGTAGAAGACGGTTGTTTTCGATCAAAGCAAATCAACAAATCAAACAGTCGGTAGTGCAAACAGCGTGAGATGACAGAAACCTAAGGATAAAAAGGAAAAGAGAGATGATCATAAGCGGAACAGAACAGTTTAGTGATCCGAAGAAATGGTTATGGTAACAACGAACAACATAGCTGGTCCTAACGGGAGAGGATAATCGGTATATGAGTACGCGTTTGTCAAGTCTCCTCTTGAAGCTGTAGTGGTTTACTTTTACGACGAAAACACAACTGCCGAAATACAAACATTTATTATTGCATTTAATTCTGACAATAATTGTTATATTGTACACCTCTTGTTTATCTGTACTAAAGACTACTATCTCTCGTGCGCCAAGCGTGTTATTCCCATTCTCCTCTTCGCACGTCTCCTGCATGAACGTTAGCTGTTTGTACGTCCTCTTGACTCAATATTGTTTCGATATCACGAGGCCAGTATCAAATATACTTCCTCCTCTAGAATCTATTCCTTATTTGATTCTCAGAGTTCGTGGAGTAACATTTGTTATCCCGCGAAGAAGTATATCGTAAGAATTGCTATAAAGCTATCCTCTGAAAGGACTATGGCCACTTCGGCTAGGGGAACATTCCAAGTATGGGTAACTCTTAATGAGTAAAGTGGGCACTTACCCAAGTGTCTGCTCTTTGATGTGGACATTTGCGAGGGTTATCTCAGGGGGCTTGATGGTGATTGTAGAATCTTTTTTGCATGGAGGGATTTTGCGGGCCGGTGTAGAATCTTTTTTGAATGTTTTGGTTTTTGGAAAATCCCTCCATGTTTATATATTTCTGTTATGACATGACGGACTCTTTCTGTTGACATTTTGGTATTTTATTTTATTCCATTTCGAGATTTTATCATTGTATATTGTTATTATTTCTATATTTTGTACTTATATTGAAGTTTTTATGTTTGCTTCTGAACTGTACACATGTTGTTTAAATTTGATATAATATGGCTACAGACACATTTTTGGATTTGATACCGTGCGGTATACGAGTTCGCCTAGTCTCCGGAACCTTGATACTCATTCAGAGTAATTTTGAATTGGAAGACGTAAAATTTGTTAGGTAACGTTTGTATTTCCATTTATTCTCTATTAATAGACCATTTTCTCCTAGAATTATTGTGTTTTGATATTCTAAATCGGAGAGTGCGTATAACATACGTCTATTGGAATCGAATTGAACCGCTACGGTAGAAAATCCAATTACAGTGATGTTTTGGCTAAGGCTCGTCATGGGGTGACTAGGCGTGTCCAATAGGTTATTTGCCATTATCAGACTACTTCTTGTTGTTTTAACTGTTGTCTTAACTGCAGAAGGACTGGAAAATGAAATGTCCGGCCCAGTGTATAGGTGAGGAATAATAACTTGATTGACAACTACTTACTTACATACTTACGCCTGTTACCCCCAATGGAGCATAGGCCGCCCACCATTTTTCTCCAACCAACTCTGTCCTGGGCTTCCCTCTCCAGATCTGTCCAATGTTTGTTCATTCCTCTCGTATCTTTCTCTATTTCTCGGCATAATGTGTTCCTTGGCCTTCCTCTTTTTCTTTTGCCTTGAGGGTTCCATGTGAGGGCTTGTCTCAAGACGCAGTTAGGTGCTTTTCGTAGTGTGTGCCCTATCCACTTCCACCGCTTCTTCCTGATTTCCTCCTCCACTAGAATCTGGTTTGTTTTCTCCCACAGTAAGTTGTTGCTGATCGTGTCTGGCCAATGATTCCGCAGTATTTTGCGTAGACAACTTTTAATAAACAGTTGTATCTTCTGGATGATAGCTTTGGTAGTTCTCCATGTTTCCGCTCCATACAGTAGAACTGTCTTGACATTTGTATTGAAAATCCTGATTTTGGTTGAAAGTTGTTTGGAGTTCCAGATATTTTTCAGCTGTAGAAATGCTGCCCTTGCTTTGCCAATCCGCGCCCTCACATCTGCATCCGATCCACCTTTCTGATTTTTGAAGGCTTTGTTTTGAGAAAATCCCATCGTGTAACTATTTGTAATATGTTCTTACTGACTCTTCCTGTTCAATATTTTGTGATGTTAATAATTTTATTTTGTTATAGTTTGTTTTTTTACCTTTATTAGCGTTTCTATGTTTTCTACTGAACTGAATTATGTTGTTCAATTTAATAGTTAATCATGGCTACGACCATATTGGAATTGATATCCTGGCGGGTAAAACGTGAATCTGGACTATACGGAAGTATTCTTCCAGAAGTGGAAGCACAATGTGTTAATTTTGACGGAGAACAGTGTATTATTGTTTAGGTTATTATCTATATTTCCTTTTTTACCCAGATAAATTGCTTTTTTGGGGATATCCGGGCAAGGCGCGTATCTAATCTTCTAGAACTGTTTTCACGAATTGAGTATCCACCCTGAAACTTACAATACCAATGAAAATAGTTATTAAAGTGACTACCCTAAACCGTTTGGAAGAGACTGATCTCTTATGAAGTGGACAATGTAGATTTAGGAAAGTCCTTTCCAGTCTGATAATTTTCATTGCAAAAGTAGTTTGGATAGCTGATAAAATAAAATTCAGATTGAAATTGTCTTCGCGTATCAACGCCGAGTCTCCAGCAAATTTTCTAAGCGAGAAATTCAGTATGTTATTATAAGTTAGACAAGTGACTGTCCCTGTGACCATGGGTAGGTGAAGCCCAATATTACAGAAACCTGGGAAGAGTGGAGTTACTCAGGAAACATATTTTGGCTACCTTTTTTACTTTGTGACTGATTTACCAACCGGCGTTTGAAGACACACACACTTCATGTCTGATACAATAATATTGCAAGGATTCTTTAATTCACTGCTCCAGTACATGAATAAGTAGACATCGGCAGCTAATTCTAGCAAGTATAGTAATCGAGTTTATGGTATTTAATATAGGAATTTTAAATTTATACTTACTTCAGAATAAGATATCCGATTGAGGATAATCATAACATACGAATTTGCAACTAACACCGTATTACAAGGGACATGCCAGTTTACAGGCTAGATTGAATGGTTGCAGATGCTACTACATTTAGTGGAAACGTTTTCACAGTTAGATCAGAAATAAGAGTCTGTTCCTGACAGTTCATTTTCACCATATCGCCGACAGGAACAGTGTGATATAGTTACATTTTCAAAAAGTGAGTACAAAAAGGGTAGGTGCATAGTAGAGTTCTTGGGTGGTCTGCATAATTCAGGGGTGAATTTTTATAAGTGTCGATTAGAAGGCGCTTGACATAAGCTGTGGTCCGGACTCGCAACCACGTAAGGTACAGACTGCGTTAAGACAGTATGGATATTCCACAGCGAACAGGGTTCTGAGAATCGATAAAATAGAGAAAAAGGAACAAAGAGCAACAAAGTGGTTGCATATATATATATATATATATATATATATATATATATATATATATATATGTATAACCAGGGAATTGTTCAACCATTCATGGTGAAGAAGACAATGCAGTGGTAAGTCAAGATAAATTCATACAGGCCACTAAAATTAGAGTAGACTGTAGTAATGTAGCCCACAAATGAAGAAGTACAACAATGAAAATTAAAAGGTTGCGAAGTGTGCCAAGTGAATGAAAGAGAAATTAAAGTAAGAAGCTGGATGTCTGAACATCAACTAAAAAAATTCATTAGGAAGCGCGAAGTTTGTAAAAAAGCCGATAATTATAATTTTTATTATTTATCACCGTGTTTAACACAAATGCCAACCTCTCAGTCATACTACTACAGTGAAACTGAAATAAGGAAGTATGGAACCCACAAATTATGGGTTTTGTTTAGGTTTTTTCCAATCCAAATCAGGTGACAACTTTTAAGGCTGTGGATTCACGATCGCTAGAGGTTAAGAAGCAAATGGTGATGTTTTAGCCATGCGTCATAAGGGCAGTAGAGTGCGTTATAATCAGGCAATTAACGACCTAATGTAATAATTCTATTCTTTTGAGTAAGTTGTGCTCAATTCAGCGATTTAATCAAGAGCCGTATAGTTAGATTCTACATATATCCCTTTTTTACCTGGCCGTCTGTCTATCATCATGTTGGCCGGAATCTATTACTATTTCGATAAGTAAATGTTCTAGACACAGGTTTGTCTGAATTCACTTTCATCCGTTCTTGATCAATCCAGTTCTGGATTTACTTCAGTGTAATACAAAAGCAAGATTTTCTACTTACAGTGTTTCGCTTTCTTCGCTTATATTGTAATACGATCAATGGTGATGCTAATTCAAATCTCAATGAAGACCCACTTCAATTGAAAAGTTGTTCTAATGCTTGCTTTGACCCACAATTGCTTTTATTTCAGTTCAGTTTTCTCCATTCCGCCTGTCACAGACCGTTTAAGTACGCAGGAACATCACTGATCGATGTCTTACTGAGTTTGCTTCTCCTCGATTACCGAGTATGTAGGCTGAGAACATAACATGTATACATAAGTACACAATAAATTAAATGATTTACCTAAAATAATGTGGGATAAGTTTAGATGTGAGAAAACAAAATGAAAGGATGTCTCGCTGGCTAATCTTAAGTTGACATCGCGAGACACCTCAACCTATTTTCACTATCTTGACACATCATGAAGTGGTTTAATACTGGTTTACTGTATGGTAAACGATAATTTCTGATTAAGTCTGTCTTATCTCCCCCTTCGACCTAAGGCTAATCATCTTACAGTACATTCTAAGAAACGTTAAAAACCAAGATGAAATCACTTACGTCTATATTCACTAGGATTTTCTGCCATAACGCTTACTATCATCACTTGTCGATACATGGAAACAGAAATCAGAACTTCACAGTACTATAAATTTCAAGGATTTATGATATTTGGTTGACCCCTATCTCTTCTACGGAGGAATGGAATAGTATTTTTCTGACATGTAGTTTCGGTTTATTTTCCCATCAGTTGGATATCTGATGAATGGTTTTAAACCTCACTAGTGTTAATGGTAGTCTAACAACACAACCAGTTTTGCGAATCATAAATGAAGGCAGTCAAGCAACTCTCCTGAAAACTGAGGCGTCTCAAGCATGTCTCTCAAGGATGCTCTCATTTTCAAACGGTTACTGTCAACACAAAATTCATAAACCTATCAGTATTCACACGTACTAAAGGAAGTTTAGTAGTTCTCAATCGTATCTAGGTTAAAAAACAATCAAGTTGAGCAAATCTCTCCACAACCAAATAAACCGTGCTTACCCTTCTGTTCCTTCAGTTGGACTTTTGGTGCAGATATAACTGGCAGTATATCGGCATAAACTAACTTTCCGGTGGAAACAAAACAAAGGGCTAATATCAAACATCTACTGAACTTACTGTTTTTCTATTTTTTTTGTCGTTAATCTATGTACAAAGTGCTTATACTGTTCACACACTATACTGTTAATCACCGGTTATTACTATGTACTCAAATGTAGTTTATTGAAATATGTTTCTACTAGATCATTGTGCATCTCAATAATCCAAGTCTACTTAGCTATCAAATAATCGTCACATGAATTTCCGTTTTGTGCGTACCAGTCATAGTTTGGTGCTAAAGACCTCAGAATAACATACCTGGGCTAGAGATAAAATAGTATACTTACTACAAGAAAAGTCAAAGGTTACACTAAGTGACCACATCTGTATGACGAGTCATACAGTCTCGATTATGTGTTCTTGTATTAACTGTTTCTGATCTTCTCTAGAAGTTGAAAGTAAAGTGCAAGAATTTTCGTATGTTGCATGTTCAGCTTCAGTTAATGTGTGACTGGGAACTAATACCACTGAACCATCTATGCTTACCAGAGAGCCAGATAATCTAGTCTTTTACAAGGGGATACATTAGGTGAAAGGTTGCCTTACTAGCCTTTATGAAACCTCCAATTATTAGCTGTAGACGGGAATATGGTTACAGCAGTCCTACGGCAAAGACGGATACAAACCATCCCATGCCACTTCTGACGCTGTTTGGGTGTTCTGGATCCGAGCACCTTTCCTCTCACTTAGTACACGTTGCAAATTGAGTAACGGAAATAGATCTCTCAACGGGATCACACAGCATATACCATACATAAGTGAAAAGGGAATTCATTAAAATAATAGGTTAGAGCACAACTCATCGTAATTGTTAAAAGTGTGACACAGACCGTCACCAAATAACTCGTAGAGAACGGAGCATATGAACAAAACAAGCAATATCGATTTCATAGAGCTGGTTACTCACTGAGCACTTCTGTTGACACCTCCAGAGGTTCACTGCCAAATTAAGCAGAAGTGAGATTATCTAACACCTCAAGATGTCCACCTGGGGTCATCTGCAGAAGACCTACGCTGAAACTGAGTAAGACAACCGCATACTGTGGGATTGTCCTGCTTTAATGGTGTCAGATACACTCATATCCTATATTTAAGTCACTTCAGTTTTCCAAAAGTCAATCAAGCAGACCGCATATACAATGGAGCTGATAACTCTACTAAGGCTCAGTTCTGTAACCTCACTGGAGGACTGAGATTATTCAAACATGTGAAGCCAGCAAATCAGTGGAAAGACAATCAGACGACATCACTTTCGAACTTAACCTTCCCAAATGAAGAATACCTTAGCTTCTCAGAAGCTCTTGACGAGGTCAATCGTATATGTCTCAGAAGTAAGCTCAAACTGTTAGGTATCAAGCCACCTTCAATAGAATGGTTAACTTCATATTCATATGATCAAATTTTCGAAGTTTAAGGTCAACATTAACTTTTTCAGGCTACAGAATGTACTATGGAAGTCCCTCAGAGTTCAGTATTAGGACCTATTCTCTTTTTCAGTTATACAAATGACCTTACTCACCCAATATATTCGGAATAATTACTTTTCGCTGATGATTTTAAACTTTATAGAGGAGTTTGCAGCCGGAAGAAATGCTGACTCTTCAGGAGGATCTGAGTTGACTTCAAAGTTCAGCCAATGAGAAGAGGCTAGTATCACATCCAAGTGCAAAGCAGTCCTCCTGAGACTTGCTACTGACTATTTATAGAACTTAGGTAACTGTCCTCTAGTAGTGTTGAAAAACATTTCGGAGTCTTAGTACACTATTATCTTACGTCCCACGCTAACTGTAATAAAATTGCTATTCAGTCACAAGTTGGACTAGTAAAGCAAGTTTTAGCCAGTTCGTTAGTAGAACATTCCACCCCTCTTCTCAGAGGATTTGTTCTTCCCTGTTTACAGTATGAAAATAATGTGTTTCCTCCTTCAACCCAAAGGACAAGGATCCTCTAGAACGTACCCAAAGGTGAGCCATTAAATTAGTTCGAGGATTCAAATTTGAACCTAGTGAAGAGCGCAAGTCACTGGATCTTTAACTGTTAGAGTATATACAACTCAGAGGTGAGCTCCTAATGACTCATAGCATTCTCAACATTCCAAGCCACCCTCTGAAATACTCATCAAAGCTCACTCTCAACACAAAAGTTAGGGGAAGTGGCCAGAAACTAGAGCCACAATATTGTGGAATGAACTACAGATCTATCTCACACTCATCCCAACTAATCATATTATAGTGGTAAATATGGTTTCCCAAGAGTCATTCAAAAAGAAACTCGATATTTTCTTCTGGAGTGAACAAAGTATTTGGTCATAATTTGCTAATATCTCCCTTTCGCTAGTTTATATACCTAATTCCCTACCTGGAGAAATCGATAATGGATTGCTAAAAGATACAGGAGCCGATTTAGAGAAATTCTCTATTTAGTTCACGAACACTTAAACAAATTAATCGGCTTAATCAGGCTCGTCAAGAGGATACTGATCATTGGATATTGTATAAACGCGAAAGTTCCAAGAGAGGCGTTACGATGGTTCGCAAGTTAAAGTATCATGAACGGAAGTTACTGAAAAAATTTGACTTTATTAACTGGGAATGTGACCATAACCTACATGAAGTTAAAGTTATGCGAATTTTTCACGTGCAAAAGCGCGAAGACTACACACTGTAAGCCTTGATTGTAATATAAATTGTCATTTCCCAGTCTTAACATTGACTAAATATACGTGAGATGGCAATCAATGAATGCGTACATTCTTGACAAGTCTACTATTTAGGCGTCTTACTAAGGGGATATCGTCACCCCGAAGGGAGAGCATTCAAGGCGGGAGCAACAGTTATTAAGAAAAAGTAGAGCGGGGGTGACTAGGCATTTGCTCTTTAATGTGCAAATTTTTGGTGATACTTCGATCAACGTGATGGTGATGCTCTAATAGAGTACTATCACTTGGATGACTTGGTGTACTTAGCGTTTTGTACGCCATTATCAGTCTGTCGTTAATCATCCTATAGGCTAGCTAGAATAATACCAAACGTTGGGGTCTGTCTTCGTAAGATTTATTGTTTAGCTCTATAACTCACTTTTTTGTCCGTCTGTGTACCTGGCATAGGAGATTTATATCTTTTCCGAGAGATTAGGCTCAAAGATGTGGTATTTGAAGTGATGTCATGATTACGTTCTAAATAGTGTCAGAAACAATTCTGGGACTATTGATACGAATTGTCTTCATATGGAGTAAAGTGATTTCATCCAGTGGTCGTCAAGCTCTTGATGGTTTCTAGTCCGAAGTCGCGCTCTAAGGATAAAACGATCACGGAGGACCTTAGTTGTTCGACACACGGGGTAGTATATTCATACATGCCATTCCGACTGATCGGACTTTAACTCATTTTCTACTGCCCAATCTACTGTTTACATTATTCCTTTTAAGCTCATATGAATTTTTTTCGCTTCTTATGATCCTCGCAAACCGTCCACTTGAGCTTTAATAGGACCCTACAACATGAAACTAATGGGCAGTAGACAACGGGTTGAAACTCATCAAATTGAATTGTCGCATCATGACTGGTGTGGAACTGTTCATTTCAGGAAACCATGTATCGAGTTTGTAGTGCTCACCTTATATATCTCATTTTAACTGATTTACCTTCATTATTTTTAGTACGTCAGCATTAGTTGATATGCTAGTGAGTCGGCTATGGTTTTGCTTCGGTTACTTAAACTCAAACTGAAGATGGAATAGTTGCTAATTCATTTTCACTAGTTACTGGAACCTTCAAAGAATAACTTTGTAATGGAAAAAATGAAACACCATATACAACTCTAGTACATACTGTATGTTGATTTTAGTCACTCAGTTTGTAAGCTCCACTTCCAGATAAATACCTTAACTTGAAGGTAATTGCATGTTTCTGAAAGCAGAGGATTTGGAAAAGTGATATATTCAGTCAAAGTTCATTAGTTTCCTACACTAACATTCACTATAATAATCGTTCGCTCGATTGATGCTCTTGGTAAAACATCTACAGTTAGAAAGAGACTTGGTTATGATACTGTCTTGGTGGTTTTCTTTTTCAATAGAAAATGTTTTAATTTTTTGAAGGACCCCTGGTTAAAGTTTTTTTAGATTCAGCTCTATGTTTAAGAATTAATTACTGAACCTTAAAGTTTCTAATTATCATTTCAGAGAGTTGGTTTGTTACTTACTCTAGTTTGCTGCACATTCACTAGCTCTACACATATCCTTATCGTGGCCATGAAGAGTGTATAACCTCGATCGTACTTTCCTAGTCTGAATAACTTTCTAGGGCTAAAACCAAACTCCTTTAGCTATTTGTTTGATTTTACCAAAAATTGTCAGCCAAGATATAACATAAAAGTCTTTCTCGCCATGAATGCACTTGATTATTACTAGGCTGATTTACCAACTAAACCCTGTAGAGAAACAGCTTGGCTGTACTGAATAATCACAGCATGTCGCATATCTAAGTTAAATTGAAACTGAAGTTAAATTCATCATTAAAAACTGAGTAGCTAGTGATCATACTCAGACTAAGTGAATACACTGCAGTAATTGTATTACTAAAAACATTTTAAAAATCTGAATATGTTCCACTAGTATGTAGTGGGCCTACAACAAAATAGTATATAAGCAAGTCAATAATCAAAGGCTACAATGTTTTCTAACTATGTGTTCATGATTTTCGTAGGCACTATTCAACATATCGACAAAATGTGCAGAATTCTAGCTCCACTCTCTCATTTACCTAAACTTTCGAATGTCATATCTAAACATCAGACATAGGGTTCAATCTTTTTGCGTAAGTTCGTTACTCATCTTGGGACATAGGTCACTTATCAAGGGCATCCAAGTAACTTTATCTTGAGCTCTGCTTTCCGCCTGTCGCTAAATTATATCCATGGTCTTAATGCCCGCTTCCTATTCCTAATGGCATGTGTGATGGTGATTGTAGTTTTCCATGTTTTAGTTCCGTACAATAGAACTTGAAATGTTATTGTCATAACTTTGGTCTTCGGTCACATTTGTTTTGAGCTTACCATATTCAACTGTAAGAATGTCGCCTTTGCTTTTCAGTCCATGCCTTGATATCTACATCAGATCCCCCTCATATGTCAGTGGTCATGTCCAGATATGTAATGAATTCCACTTCCAAGTGGAATTTGTTTGCGATTCCCCGTATTATACTTCAAGGCATTGTTTTCTTCCTTTTGAATAAATATTGAAACCTAATGCTGTGAAGGCGGTTGTTACACTGGCCGTCTTCACCTGTATTTGTTATTCATACAATAGTAGAGCTGTCATTTGGGAAGTAGAACGCGTCTATTATATTCCGCATATTTCTTGAAGGGTGGAGGCTTTCACAATGCAGCCAGTGGCTAGTAAGTAGATAAAAGACGAAATTAGAGAGCATTGTCTGACACTAGTTTGCTTGAAATATATCTGTTAGCTGCCCTCGATACATGGTTCTGCATTGTTATCGCTCAAAAAATTTCTGCATGATATTTTCAGGTACTCCATAGTGTTGCAGAAAGTTTTACAATGTCTTTTTATCCACGTTGTCGAATCCGTTTTCATGATGAAAAATTGATGTTTACCAGCGAATCCCATTCCTTTGATCCTTCTACAACAATCTCTAGCGTTGCAATTCGGTTGGTACATGATTGGTCCTAACGAAAATCAGCCTGTTGGTCTGAAAGTCGAGCGTCTATTGGACCTTTCATTTGAGTCAGCAATACTATGCTGAAAACTTTGCCTGGTTCTTATAGTGGTATAATGCCTCTCTAGTTTGCATATTTACTGAGGTCTTTCTTAGTTATGTTGACTACGTATCCATTTTTCTATCCTATCGGTACTTGTTCTTCCCAAATCTTTCTGAGGAGGATATGAAATATCCTGGCTGTTGCCTCCAACAAGTATGTTGTTTGGTTCTGCTACTCTAAGATTCTTTATTTTTCTATTGCTAACAGGTTACTATCTGCAAAAAAATCTATGTGCGCTGCATGAATATCCTGTTGGTTCAGCGTTCCTAACTGTGTAATACAGTCCTTCTCACAAAGCTTTTTACTATGTATTTGCCAGTTCTTCAACATGCTTCCGAGTGTTAATTCATCATCCTTGTTTGGCTGTTATTGACTGCCATCTTCTTGGTATTTTGAATCTGTCTATAAAGATCCACTCGTTATATTAACGCTCCTTGGGACCCAGCGTCTAGCATGTTAAAGTTAAAGCTGCTTCAATTAAACTACAGTTTTTTTTCTATGTGTTGCTTATGAGGCTTTAAACTGGTTGCTGAGCTATTCGAAATCTCTGAGCTTATTAGTAACTCAGCAGAAGGCTGTACCAAACTTTCGAAGTACTTTCTCAGCTGTCCAATAATTCTGTAGCTCTTTTATTTTAGCCTGGCCACCTTGAGATTATCTGGATTCACATCAGCTTTTCTCTTTGTCCATACATCTTCGATAGATTTGAATTTTTTACTCAAACATATATGATCGATCTGGTTCTCTGTATCTTGGTCCAGTGAAACTTAAGCAGCTCTGTGAATGTATTTGTGAGAGAAATGCTACCACCTCTATTGTTATAAGTAACTAAATCTTTTAACCTCTCACCATTCTCGTTTGTTTCATTCTATCTCACTGTTGTTGCCCATCGCGACATTTCATTTTAGGTATTCTGTCAGAATAGTCAAGTATTTTCCCAGGTATTTCCCTAGAATAGAATAGGGTCTCATAAAATTGGCCAATGTCAACTTTACTTGCATGATTGATGGGTGCATAGCGCTGTATAATGCTCATCGTAATCCCTTCCTTTGTTTTGAAGGATGCTTTGCTGATCCTGAAACTGAGTTTCTCATCCAGTTATCTTTGTAATTATTCCGAAAACATCAGTTCAACCCCTTACGTGCGTGTTTGCATGGCATTTTTGTCCTCATGATCTTGATAAAATTCTGTCTATCTACTGATAAGATGAATATTCGAATTTCAGGGTAGGTAATTAGTAGACTCTTGGATGGTTTAATCATGAAGCTTTGTCTTTCTCAATAAATCCACCAAAGCCAACTTTGATGAGAAGTGAGCTCTTGGGATTTCTCAACAATAGACTAGCAACTTGTATTCTGGACCTAGGGTTTGACTAGTCCTTATACATGAACCAAAACATCTTAATTAAACCTCAACATGATTGATGTTTCACGATTAAACCGTCCAGTTCAGATAACTCAGTGCTTCCAGAAATTGACTGATATTTCCGGCTTATTAAAATTTGCTTTAACATTTTCAAAGAATATCAAAATCTTCAGTTTCGTATTGTACAACATTTTAATTAGTTCAGAACAAGAAGTATTGATGATAATGTCAAGCAGCTTCTACTTTTAAGAGCGTTCTCTTTTTTTATGCTGTAGTTACAACAAACTCTCTCGAAAAATCAGAGAAATTGCTGAGAAACTTAAGAATATCGATGAGAATGATCCGTGGAGAGCAGAAATGACTGAGCTGTTAACAGCAAAATTGTACATTATCATTTTTAAGTTTAATAACTATAAAGACACAACTTAGGTTTGATACCAACCAGAAGAAGTCTCATGTTAGCTTCGAAAGTCAGTGCCTCTTCATTTTGTCGGAGACGGCTCTCAGTTATTGTAATGCGTTCAAAAATGGCAGAAACAATGAAAGCGGCTGTGACGTTTGTTGAACAAGGACACGTTCGTGTGGGGCCAGATATCATACGAGACCCAGCATACCTAGTTACAAGGTTTGTCACTAATGTACCTTTTTTACGTTGTTAAATGAAATAATATAATGTAGTTTTTGAGATGTAGATGTACCCGTTTCGTATAAGTTTAGAAGATTTACAGCTTACGGCAAAATACTTACTACACGTTTTCTGCTTATGATCTCTGGTCAAGTTAATGCATATGAATATAGTTTTTCATTATAGCTAACACTGTCCATTGGTTGAGCGTGTTAACCGCTTTAATTGGGAGACTCATCAGGGCTGATGGCTTGGTGTCTGACGAAACCTCAGCACGGATACAGAAGGCTCGACTGGCTTTTGCCAACTCGCGTCACTTATGTCGTAGGCGAGATATCCGTTTGCCGACTAAAGGACGAGTCCACTGCGCAACAGTTCGCTCCATCCTATTTCACGGCTGTGAAACATAACCAGTAAGAATAGAAGATATTGGTAGATTACTGGTTTTCGATCATATGTATCTCTGAAGCATTGCTCGTTTATCTTGGGGTTATCGAGTAAGCAATGCAGATGTTAGGAAACGAGTATTACTTAAGGATGGAAAATCAACAGATAAAGTGTTTGGGACCCTGTTTCGCGCTAGATGTGAGAGGGGAAACAAAATCGAAGTAGAAATGGAAAATTTCGGACAAGTAGCTCAACATTCGAAAGTTTCTTAACCACTGAACCATAATTTCACTACGATATTTATTAGCTGCAGTTTGAAAAGGAGTACCGTTTGAAATACTGAACATGCATCCCTTAGGTTAACAACAAAACCATGATATCGTTAAATCGGTCTGCGAAAGCTGTTACAACCACGACCTTTATCACCTGAAACGTCACTGCAAAATATAAGGTCTGACCACTGAATAGTAAGAAGTTAAGGTGGTTGAGACATGTGTTACGTATGTCCAACCACCGACTGCCTCGTCGAGCTATGTTTTATGATGTAGGAGTAGGTTGGAAGAAAGTTAGGGGCAGCCAAGCCAAAACATGACACAAATCCATGAAGCCACTGACGAGTGGACTGAGTTATGTTGATAGTTGTCGACTACATGGTTGAGCCCGCGAGATGATAGCAATCGATGGTTAAAGACCCTGAATGACATGATTCAGAATCGTCTGCAATGGCGCAGGTGCATCCACTCTTTGTGTTCTCTCAAATTCATCATCACCATCGTTTTCTTTTTAAGTTTATTTCACTGGATTATACTTCTTGAGTAATACCTTCGAACCCTAATCTCTCCAATTACGGTTACTACTTCTACCTCTACTACTATGGGATTTGAATTGACAATTGCATCTCTGTGCTAATGTGGTATTTCAACTTGAACCGATATGTGTACGTACGAAGTTCTACGTTGTAACTGACTGATTGACCACATGATTGAAAAGTCATTCAGTTGTAAGCAATGTAAAACCTGGCACATGTCTTCATCTATTCAAGTTGTCACATGTCATTGTTAGATGAGTGATAAAATAGTAGATGTAGTAGTAGTATCGGTGATAGTAAAAAGATTATGTGTAGAGAATGTAACTCGCGACGAATGAATGACTTCGTCGGGCTAGAATTACAACTTGGTTTTGCGGTTCAGAACTACGAGCTCATCTACGCCACTGCGGTCAGTCCTGGGCCATTTCATCTCAAGTCTCGAGTTAGTGGTTATAATAGTGGTGTAGAGCTTAAACAGGTAGTCCGGTTTTACAAGTGGTTCAGTCTACAAGTCAGTGACTTCGTAGAATTATACGTTGTTTCGGCTACCCTTGTCTTCCTACCAGCATACTGCTATGCTTGTGATCGACAATCTATTTGAACTGTAGTCGGAATAATAATCAGTTAGGATACTACTAAGGCTTTCTATTCTGCACCTCGAAAAACATGGTACACATAATTGAATGGAATTTATACAGATTGTGTTTCCTACTTAGACAATCCATTTTTATAGTTTTTCCCTCTAATTTCTCCATTGGTACTGTCGCCTTGCTCTGTTTCCATTATTTCTTGTTGCACCATGTACTTTGTCAGTAGAAAAAAGATGTATTATTTCATATGCAAGATTATTATTATTGTGTTCAGTACTGAAACATCTCAGGTAGTGAATCGTACAGCTAACATGTTAATCCGTTTTTATTTTTAAATTTGCTATCAGATCTATGGAAGACTACATAACTTGGGCATCTCGTTCGAAAATTCGTAAACGAATTGAAGATTATAATGGATTGAGAGATGATTATGATGATGTATAACAAATCGAGAGTTTATGACTATTAATGTACATAATTCATTTTAACTACAAATTATAAATTTTGTGAGAAATCTGTAAGTGAAAGTGCTCTTTAAAAAATTCCTTAGTTTATTGCAGATTCAAGTCGAATCGTTACTTAGATCGCTCAAGTAAATTACCTTGTAAGCACTATTCAAGTTTTATAAACTAGGTTTGTGAAGTTTTTGTCTCTGCAAATAGAACCAAAACATCTTAATTAAACTCCAACGTGATACACAAAACTGCCTACATACTGTACTTTTCAGTTATATTCCAGGCGTTGGCAGTTTTCTGAAATGTTGCATAGCTTGAGTAGTGAAAGTTTGAACGTAAACAACACAGAAGTTTTACATCCACTATACACACCGTCAGTCAAATCTTTCGATCACCGCGAACTCCTCTAATTTTTATGGTGTAGCGTAGGTGATCATAATATGATCAGTGACATTTTACAGTTCTAGCTTGTTGGATCGTTCTTTGGACTAGATGAGTAATGTCTCAATTTATAATTTCGAATAAAATGTGAATAACTTAGGCGAACAGACACCAGCCAAATGGTCAAGACAATTGACGACAAATATTTAGGCCCATTACATAGGAAAGTTAATGATGCGGTTACTTTACTTTATTAACTTACGATGTGAGCTGTTGCACCTGGATGTTCTCTTATAGTCTTATCAAATATTGTAAAAATACAGTTTACAGGCAAACAGATGTGAGCTGATTCAATAGAACTCAGATTTTCAAAAACCTAACCGCTAATTCCAAAACAATGGCTGTAGGTGAAGCTTGTGGAAAGATCTGAAGATATATTTAGATGATTAGTCTGAATTAAACAAGAATGTGTCTAGTACTCTTGTTTTATCTAATGCAATATCTTCAGCTCCTAGCTTCAGCTTGGTGCATTATATCGACAATGTTAACTTTCGATGGTTGCTACTTAAGATTAAAGGTTAACGAATAATAAGTACAATACCGCTCTGGTGCAGTCAAGGCGACATTATGGTCTCGAAATTTGTGTACTTTGTGATGAGTCGAGTCCTCATCCCATGCCTTCACCACGACCTCGAAAAAGTTTCCCAGAGAGCAAACAGGACCTTAAGTTTACACGCTAGCGACGTGGTGCATAGCCGTTGGGAAATGTCATCTAAAAGATGGTCAGCAGCTGAAGAATTCTGATGAAAAAACCAGTATTGAAGCCTGTGAGAGTATCCCGACGATAGCTGCTACCTTGTCGTGGTGGTCGGGTTTGTCTATCATGATGACCCCAACCGAGCTATGTTGGCTGGAACATATGTTCCTACCATGCCAGACAGGTCGATTAGAGAACGGTGAGACTAAAAGCAGCTGCTCAAGGTCTGAGGGCGAAGTCGTACTGTTGATTGTGGAGGGGTGTGACAGCAGTAAGGTGCTTCCCTCGGACAACCAGCATCTGCAGCAATGCTGCCTTCTCACAAGGAAGGAAGGGTTGGAAGAGGTCCACCCTGAAAATGTCACACCTGACGGATCTCCGTCTCCGGGGGTAAGAGCTCTTAGGCAAGATGGGACCTAATACTCTAAAAATCTTTCATACAAAGGCCGTGCGTGACCGGCCTCAAGCAGTTGTCCCCTGGGCTCTGCGGTCACGCTCCCAGGACTCTAAGACCAACACTAATCTACCTTCCTTTTCACGTTCCTCAAGAAACAACCTTCCACGGTGTGGGCAGCCGGGAAGTGACAACCACCCTCATACCCGTAACAGCAAACGAGACCAAATTGGTCAAAATCAAATCTTCCCTACACCGCCTAACATCTCTCTTATCTCAACGTCTCACCTCTTCAACGCCCTGCACTGCTAATGCAAACGACTTAAGTTCACGAAACATTATTCCTTGTCTCCAGAAACCCCATTTTAAAGAGCATACTGGTTTTCGACCTGGCTGTATAGACCACATATTCCCACTACGTCAGGTCCTAGAACAACGACATACGTCCAGACACCCCACAATAGTAGTATTTCTCGACCTTAAAGCGGCATTCAACTCTGTCGATCGTGAGGTTCTGTGGCAGTGTGTCATGAAAAGGTGTACCAGAGAAGTACATTAACCTTATACAAGCCCTCTACTCGAACACCACTAGTCAAGTGAGAGATTATGGTGAACTGTCATCGGAATTACTTACTCTAAGTGGTGTCCGTCAGGGCTGTCCACTCTCTCCATTCTTGTTTAACTTTGTCGTAGACATGCTTTTAGAGTTAGCATTATCATCGTCTGATCTTCCAGGAGACACGCTTGTTGACTTGGAATATGCCGATGACATAGTTCTATTCGGTGAAGACGCTGACACAATGCAGAGTCTTCTGACTACCATAAGCAACAATGCGAGCATGTTCGGCATGCGGTTTTCCCCGCCGAAATGCAAAATGTTTCTTCAAGACCGGGTTGCATCGGCACCTGAACTAGTGATAGGGAGTGAAGTAGTCGAGCGTGTTGATCACTTCACTTATCTGGGGAGTCTCATCAGCGCTGATAGCCCGGTGACTCACGAAATCTCAACACGGATACAGAAAGCTCGATTTGCTTTTGTCAATTTACGCTGTTTATGGCGTAGGCGATATCCGTTCGCTAACCAGAGGACGGGTGTACTGCGCAGCAGTTCGCTCCGTTCTCCTATATGGATGCGAAACATGGCCGTTAAGAGTAGATGTTCGTAGGTTATTAGTATTCGATCACAGATGTTTAAGAAGCATTGCTCGTATATCCTGGGACACGCGAGTGAGCAACACTGTTATTAGGAAGCGGGTGCTAGGTAAGAATGGCAGATCAATAGATGAAGTAGTGAAACTTCATCATTTGAGGTGGTCAGGACGTGTGTTACGAATGCCCAACCACCGACTGCCTCGTTGAGTTATGTTTTGTGGTGTAGAGGTTGGAAGAGAGCTAGGGGCAGTAAAACGAAAACTGGCACGAATCCGTGAGTTCACTGACAAAAGGACTGAGTGATGTTGGTAGTTGCAAACTACCTGGTTGGGGTCCGCGAGACGATACTAATTGATGGTTAGGGACCTTGAATGACATGGTTCAAAATTGTTTACAATGGTGTAGATGCATCCACTTGTTATTTCTTATGGAATTCTAATCTTCTGAATTCACAATCACCTCTACGTTTCTCCTTCTAAAATTATCTTACTGAATTATACTTCTTGAATATCTTGGAACCCTGATCTCCATTACTAGTAATATTTGTACTATCTCTACCACTATGGAATTTGAACTGACAAGTCCGTCTCTGTGCTAATCTAGTATGGCGACCTGAACTGATGTACTTACGTACGAAGTTCTACGTTGTAACTGACTATGAGAGTATACTAATCTGGTACTCCACAGACATTACAACGGATGTTGTCGATCATACTTTCAGTTTCCCTCTCATCTGTTTGTCGGCTGTCGTCAAAGATTGCTCAGATTCACTCGATTATTACGGTAACTACAAGAGGAATGAAGGGAGATTTTTAGACTCCTATAGCTGCAAGTAGTGTATACATATAACCAACATTAAGTTTGCAAATCGACGAAAGGTCATTCTCATTTAGTCAATTTTCAACACAGTACCGTTGAATTAAGAGCGAATTATATTAACATTTTAGATGTAACTAATTTGGCTTTCAACGCATTTTTCTATGAGATTAGCTCACTGACAACAGTTCAGTCGGTAAGATTTCTAAATTAGTATTCTTTGAGTAAATATTGGACCATATCAATGTGAATGTAAGCTTGATTTTTGAGGATTTTTCGTTGCAATGCTACTTATTAGCTGCCCGGTTTATCCAGTTAATACTGATTTCATTTTATAGTACAAGAATCTGACTTGTTTGAACTTTCAGAATACAGGATTTAAACTCAACTAAAAAAAATAAAACTTAACAGCACTTTGTGTGACGTTACAAGAATGAACTAATACGAAGTGAGATAAGTGGAATGCGTGAAGTTAGAGGCTTGTGTTACAGCTAACTCTCAACTCAATAGAAGCTTCAAAGTAAAGCCATTGCTGTCGAACATTTTTGAAGAAAATATGACAACAGTAAGTGTTAAGTCAGTGACTGTGACAAAGCCTGAAACCCTATTCTACTGATAAAAGGGCCTACTGATTGAAACTTAACCTCAATAACTAAGTGGATATCAACACATTGAAATTTTAGCCTACTACTATATTTTATTTCCCTCGAAACATTTCCACTGCTACGGCTACATTAATGAATACGAATAAGCATATCAGCTTTATTACCAATTAGTGGCACTAGTGCAATCGCTTTTAGTTTACACTACTAGGTGGAGAAACTCCGCCAGTAGAACCTTAGGGGCTACTGCCGGTCCCAAGCCCGGATAAAGGAGGAGGGTTGGACATGGGGTTGGCGGCCCCATTCCGTTGAAATCTAACTTGCCAAAAAAACGCTAACCAGAAAAAATAATTCAAACCATTTTAACTCTGCCCTGGGAGTTGGAAGAAGAATTATGACGTCTCGTGATGAAAGCCGAGTCCCCTCGGAAGTCACGGGGCCGATGCCTCTTCTGACAACTAGAGCAACCATTTTTTTAGGTACATGGAACGTTCGTACATTGTGGGAGACTGGAAGACTATTTCAAGTTGCGGCAGAAATGAAAAGATACAACCTCGAGGTGCTCGGCATCAGTGAAACACATTGGACACAGGTAGGACAACTGAGACTTGCTTCAGGGGAACTGCTGTTATACTCTGGTCATGAAGAGGAAAATGCTTCACATACACAAGGAGTTGCACTGATGCTGTCCAAACATGCACAAAAGGCACTGATAGGATGGGAATCTCATGGACCCAGGATCATTAAAGCATCCTTCAAAACAAAGAAACAGGACATTACAATGAACGTCATCCAATGTTATGCACCTACCAATGACTACAATGACGACGTTAAAGATCAATTCTACGAAAGGCTGCAGTCAGTCGTCGAGAAATGTTCACCAAAGGATTTGACGATTCTTATGGGAGACCTGAATGCCAAGGTTGGAATGGACAACACTGGATATGAAGACATCATGGGACGACATGGACTGGGAGAAAGGAACGAAAACGGTGAGAGATTTGCAAACCTATGTGCCTTCAACAAACTGGTCATCGGTGGCACAATATTCCCGCACAAACGCATTCACAAAGCCACATGGATTTCACCGGACCACACTACTCAAAACCAAATTGACCATATCTGTATCAACAAAAAGTTCAGAAGGACCATGGAGGATGTGAGAACCAAGAGAGGAGCTGATATAGCTTCAGATCACCACTTGCTGATCGCCAAAATGAGATTGAAGCTAAAGAAGCACTGGACAGCGGGGCAGACAACATCACAGAAGTTTAATACGGCCTTTCTTCGGGATACCGTAAAACTCAACGAATTCAAGATAGCCCTCACCAATAGGTTCCAGGCCTTTCAGGATCTACTCAATGGAGAGGAAGCAACATTGGAGAACAATTGGAAAGGGATTAAGGAGGCAATCACTTCAACATGTCAGGAGGTCCTTGGTCGCAAGAAGCAGCATCACAAGGAATGGATCTCTGTTGGTACTCTTGAAAAAATTCAAGAAAGGAGGAACAAGAAGGCAGCTATCAATGTCAGCCGAACAAGAGCAGAGAAAGTTAAGGCACAAGCTGAATACACAGAAGCAAACAGGGAAGTGAAGAAGAGCATCAGAGATGACAAACGAAAATATGTGGATTATCTAGCAATGACGGCGGAAAAGGCTGCAAGAGAAGGAAACATGAGACAATTGTACGAAACTACAAAGAAGCTCGCCGGAAACTATCGTAAACCAGAACGACCAGTGAAAAGTAAGGAAGGCAAAGTAATCAGCAACACTGACGAACAGCGAAATAGGTGGGTGGAGCACTTTAAGGAACTATTGAATCGACCAGCTCCACTGAACCCACCCAACATCGAAGCAGCATCCAAGGACCTCCCAATTAATATTGGCGCACCTACGATTGAGGAGATCAGTATAGCCATCAGACAAATCAAGAGCGGCAAAGCAGCAGGACCAGACAACATTCCAGCAGAGGCAATGAAAGCAGATGTGGAAGCAACTGCGAAAATATTTCACATTCTCTTCAAGAAGATTTGGGATGAGGAACAAGTACCATCAGATTGGAAAGAAGGATACCTGATCAAAATACCAAAGAAAGGCGATCTCAGCAAGTGTGAAAACTACAGAGGCATCACTCTTCTTTCAATACCAGGCAAAGTCTTCAACAGAGTATTGTTAAACAGAATGAAGGACTTCGTAGACGCCCAACTTCGAGATCAACAGGCTGGATTTCGTAAGGATCGATCGTGTACTGACCAAATTGCTACATTACGGATCATTGTGGAACAATCAATTGAATGGAACTCACCACTCTACATCAACTTTATCGACTACGAGAAAGCATTCGATAGCGTGGATAGGAAAACACTGTGGAGGCTTCTTCGACACTACGGTGTGCCTGAGAAAATAGTCAACATCATACGGAATTCTTATGATGGATTCAACTGCAAAATCGTACACGGAGGTCAGCTGACAGACTCTTTTGAGGTGAAGACCGGTGTCAGGCAAGGTTGCTTACTCTCACCCTTTCTCTTTCTCCTGGTCATCGACTGGATTATGAAGACGTCAACATCTGGAGGGAAGCACGGTATCAACTGGACAGTTAGGACGCAGCTGGACGATCTGGACTTCGCAGATGACCTGGCTCTTCTATCGCACACTCAACAACAAATGCAAGAGAAGACGACCAGTGTAGCAGCAGCCTCTGCAGCAGTAGGTCTCAACATACATAGAGGAAAAAGCAAAATTCTCCGATGCAACACAACATGCACCAACCGAATCACGCTTGATGGAGATACCTTGGAGGACGTTAACACCTTCACATATCTTGGCAGCATCATCGACGAGAAAGGTGGATCGGACGCAGATGTGAGGGCGCGGATTGGCAAAGCAAGGGCTGCATTTCTACAGTTGAAAAATATCTGGAACTCCAAACAACTTTCAACCAAAACCAAAATCAGGATCTTCAATACAAATGTCAAGACAGTTCTACTGTATGGAGCGGAAACATGGAGAACTACCAAAGCCATCATCCAGAAGATACAAGTGTTTATTAACAGTTGTCTACGCAAAATACTTCGTATTCGTTGGCCAGACACCATCAGCAACAACGAACTGTGGGAGAGAACAAGTCAGATTCCAATGGAGGAGGAAATCAGGAAGAAGCGGTGGAAATGGATAGGACATACACTACGAAAAGCACCCAACTGCGTCACTAGACAAGCCCTCACATGGAACCCTCAAGGCAAAAGGAAAAGAGGAAGGCCAAGGAACACACTACGCCGAGAAATAGAGAAAGATATGAGAGGAATGAACAAACATTGGACAGAACTGGAGAGAGAAGCCCAGGACAGAGTTGGTTGGAGAAAACTGGTGGGCGGCCTATGCTCCATTGGGGGTAACAGGAAAAAAAAAAAAAAAAAAAAAAAAAACTAGGTGGAGACACAAGTGTACTCCACTCGCTATGTTCCCATGTAGTATGGTTCAAACCAACCACAGAATTTTCAGTACCATGAGATATTTATTTACAAAAACATATGACAACTGGAAATGATTGAGCTTGATGAATATTAGGTCAGTGAGAGAAGGGATTAGATCGGCTTAAGCGACCATTGTGAAGGGGTCAGTGTTTTCAAAGTTAAAGCATGTATTGACCTCATTTCTTCTTCTAACAATCTATGAACAATCCTAAATATTATTATTCAGCGCAATTACTTCAAACCTGTGTCTGTCAAGAAGTGATTTACCCTCAAACTCCTGAGAAATGATTTTCACATCAAATTTCAGACCACATCCATCCGAAAGGTCAACTACTTCCTAAAATTCAGTAATATAAGTAGATTTCGCATACGATATGAAGTGGGTCCAAAGATTTGAGTTTCTGCTCGATCACGTCCTTCATAACCTTGCAAGTAACGGGTAGATTAAAACTACGCTTCGAATTTCCAGATTTCAAATTCCAATTTTTTTTTTGAAGCAGTAAGTATAGATTGGTTCCTTCACAGTCACTTCTTGTTATTTTGGTACAGTCCCAGATATTCAGTTATGTCCAATCGATGGTAGTCTACTTATTTGACTGAACTACTCTTAGCTAGTTGGCATTTCTTAATGAATTTGTGTATTCCGTGATTTGAGTGAGTGCATTTGTTTCAGAGCAGTAGGGTTTCTCGTTACCAGTAGCTGTCACTTTAGTTGCAGTGTGGAGAATAATAAGATGAAAAGCCAAATGATAATAAGAGGATTTCAGAACTAAGTGAGTAAGTGGATAATTTAGTGAATTAATTGGTAGTGAAGATTATGCCATAGGACTGAAGTGTAAGCAAGGGAGAGGAAACAGAGCTAATAAGCGGGACAGAAAAAGTTTTATGATCCGAAAATATGAACAATGTTAACAACAAGTTTCGTGACATGCAGTGGGTACAGCTGGTCTACGAGGTTGGGGATGATTCGTATGTGAGCACTTGTTTATCAATTCTCGAATCACCCAGGGGGCTGAAGTCACCTCGAATGAGAGAGCATTGCACACTGCAACGACTCATTCAAAAATGATCACGAATCTGAGTGTTCGCTCTTCGATGCGCAATTTTTCGAGGACTACTTCGTGGGGTGTGGTGGTAATGTTTAGGTAGGATGCATACGTTGCGACGGTGTCGTGTGCTTATTATGATTTATGCCATAATCTGATCGCCTGTGAATCTCCTGTAACTCAGGGAGAAAAGTCTCAAGTTGTGAAGTCTACCAACGTAAGTTGTATTCTTCACCCGTTTGGAGGCTCATCTTTTCAGTCGCTGCAAATGATTTATGTCCCTTTTAAGGAGACAGGTGGATTAGGATTTCCATCATCAGCTGAAGTCGGCTACAATACAAGAACCTTATATCCTAGTCCTAGCACAACGAACGATTTATCTTTCCCTGTTGCCTCCCGTTCAAATAACCAGGTTAATATCTCAGTATTGTCCTAGTGCATAGTACAGCTTTAATTTACCATTACTATCGAAGATCCACATCTGACTGCCCACAGACGCCATTGGATTCATGATGCAATAAAGTCCAAAGTGTATTAAAATGCTCTTTCTGATTCTGTACTAATATTGATACTGCAGTCATGCACCTGGTGGGTCTAAAACTACATGGTCCTATCAAAACACAATTCTTAACGACCACTGCAACCTTGGATTTCAATTGATTGGTGTTATTCAATAACCAATATCTAACATACTCATGAGCTAGAACAAACCAATTGATTTATTTGCGCTAACTTCTTGCTGTTTTGTTACAGTCCCAGGTATTTAGTAATGTCCAATTGATACATACGTGACTTCACCAATTCTAGCTAATTGGCAGTTCTTTATGAATTAGTATATTCCATGATTTGAGTGAGTGTGTTTGTCTCAGAGCAGTAGGGTTTCTGGATACCAGCAGTTCACGTGTTAGCGGGCCGGACATCAGCTAGTGGCAATGTAGAAAATAATAAAGAGGGAATGCTAATGCCAAGTAGAAGACGATTGTTTTCGATCAAAGCAAATCAACAAATTAAATAGTCGGTAGTGCAAACAGCGTTAGATGACAGAAGCCTAAGGATAAAAAGGGAAAGAGAGATGATCATAAGCGGAACATAACAGGTTAGTGATCCGAAGAAATGGTTATGGTAACAACGAACAAGTTTCGAGAAGTGTATCAGACATAGCTGGTCCTAACGGGAGAGGATAATCGGTATATGAGTACGCGTTTGTCAAGTCTCCTCTTGAAGCTGTAGTGGTTTACTTTTACGAAGAAAACACAACTGCCGAAATATAAACATTTATTATTGCATTTAATTCTGACAATAATTGTTATATTTTACACCTCTTGTTTATGTGTACTAAAGACTACTCTCTCTCTCTCTCGTGCGCCATACGTGTTATTCCCATTCTCCTCTTCGCACGTCTCCTGCGTGGACGTTAGCTGTTTGTACGTCCTCTTGCCTCAATATTGTTTCGATATCACGAGGCTAGTATCAAATATACTTCCTCCTCTAGAATCTATTCTTTATTTGATTCTCAGAGTTCGTGGAGTAACATTTGTTATCCCGCGAAGAAGTATATCGTACGAATTGCTATAAAGCTATCCTTTGAAACAACTCCGCCAGTAGAACCTTAGGGGCTACTGCCGGTCCCAAGCCCGGATAAAGGAGGAGGGTTGGACATGGGATTGGCGACCCCATTCCGTTGAAATCTCACTTGCCAAAAAAACGCTAACCAGAAAAAATAATTCAAACCATTTTAACTCTGCCCTGGGAGTTGGAAGAAGAATTATGACGTCTCGTGATGAAAGCCGAGTTCCCTCGGAAGTCACGGGGCTGATGCCTCTTCTGACAACTAGAGCAACCATTTTTTTAGGTACATGGAACGTTCGTACATTGTGGGAGACTGGAAGACTGCTCTAAGTTGCGGCAGAAATGAAAAGATACAACCTCGAGGTGCTTGGAATCAGTGAAACGCATTGGACACAAGTAGGACAACTGAGACTAGCTTCAGGGGAACTGCTGTTATACTCTGGTCATGAAGAGGAAAACGCTTCACATACACAAGGAGTTGCACTGATGCTGTCCAAACATGCACAAAAGGCACTGATAGGATGGGAATCTCATGGACCTAGGATCGTCAAAGCATCCTTCAAAACAAAGAAAGAGGACACTACAATGAACGTCATCCAATGTTATGCACCTACCAATGACTACAATGACGACGTTAAAGATCAACTCTACGAAAGGCTGCAGTCAATCGTCGAGAAATGTTCACCAAAGGATTTGACGATTCTTATGGGAGACCTGAATGCCAAGGTTGGAATAGACAACACTGGATATGAAGACATCATGGGACGACATGGACTGGGAGAAAGGAACGAAAACGGTGAGAGATTCGCAAACCTATGTGCCTTCAACAAACTGGTCATCGGTGGCACAATATCCCCGCACAAACGCATTCACAAACCCACGTGGATTTCACCGGACCACACTACTCAAAACCAGATTGATCATATCTGTATCAACAAAATGTTCAGAAGCACCATGGAGGATGTGAGAACCAAGAGAGGAGCCGATATAGCCTTAGATCACCACTTGCTGATAGCCAAAATGAAACTGAAAATCAAGAAACACTGGACAGCGGGGCAAACAACATCACAGAAGTTTAATACAGCCTTTATTCGGGATACCGTGAAACTCAACGAATTCAAGATAGCCCTCACCAATAAGTTCCAGGCCTTTCAGGATCTACTCAATGGAGAGAACGCAACATTGGAGAACAATTGGAAAGGGATTAAGGAGGCAATCACTTCAACATGTCACAAAGTTCTGGGTCACAAGAAGTACCATCACAAGGAATGGATCTCTGTTGACACTGTTGCAAAAATTGAAGAAAGGAGGAACAAGAAGGCAGCGATCAATGTCAGCCGAACAAGAGCGGAGAAAGTTAAGGCGCAAGCCGAGTATACAGAAGCAAACAGGGAAGTGAAGAAGAGCATCAGAGCTGACAAACGAAAATATGTGGAAGATCTAGCAATGACGGCGGAAAAGGCTGCAAGAGAAGGAAACATGAGACAATTGTACGAAACTACAAAGAAGCTCGCTGCAAACTATCGTAAACCAGAACGACCAGTGAAAAGCAAGGAAGGGAAAATAATCAGCAACACTGACGAACAGCGAAATAGGTGGGTGGAGCACTTTAAGGAACTATTGAATCGACCAGCTCCACTGAACCCACCAAACATCGAAGCAGCATCCAAGGACCTCCCAATTAATATTGGCGCACCTACGATTGAGGAGATCAGTATAGCCATCAGACAAATCAAGAGCGGCAAAGCAGCAGGACCAGACAACATTCCAGCAGAGGCAATGAAAGCAGATGTAGAAGCAACTGCGAAAATATTTCACATTCTCTTCAAGAAGATTTGGGATGAGGAACAAGTACCATCAGATTGGAAAGAAGGATACCTCATCAAAATACCAAAGAAAGACGATCTCAGCAAGTGTGAAAACTACAGAGGCATCACTCTTCTTTCAATACCAGGCAAAGTCTTCAACAGAGTATTGTTAAACAGAATGAAGGACTTCGTAGACGCCCAACTTCGAGATCAACAGGCCGGATTTCGTAAGGATCGATCATGTACTGACCAAATTGCTACATTACGGATCATTGTGGAATAATCGATTGAATGGAACTCACCACTCTACATCAACTTCATCGACTACGAGAAAGCATTCGATAGCGTGGATAGGAAAACACTGTGGAGGCTTCTTCGACACTACGGTGTGCCTGAGAAAATAGTTAACATCATACGGAATTCTTATGATGGATTCAACTGCAAAATCGTGCACGGAGGTCAGCTGACAGACTCTTTTGAGGTGAAGGCCGGTGTGAGGCAAGGTTTCCTACTCTCACCCTTTCTCTTTCTCCTGGTCATCGACTGGATTATGAAAACATCAGCATCTGGAGGGAAGCACGGTATCAACTGGACAGCTAGGACGCAGCTGGACGATCTGGACTTCGCAGATGACCTGGCTCTTCTATCACACACGCAACAACAAATGCAAGAGAAGACGACCAGTGTAGCAGCAGCCTCTGCAGCAGCAGGTCTCAACATACATACAGCGAAAAGCAAAATTCTCCGATGCAACACAACATGCACCAACCGAATCCCTCTTGATGGAGATGTCTTGGAGGACACCTTTATATATCTGGGCGGCATCATCGACAATCAAGGTGGATCCGATACAGATGTGAGTTGTCGTCCAAGTCTTGTTCCTTCATGCCTTCTAAGGGTGACTTACAATAATAAGTATCAAACATAACATCATTGTTATTTATAAGAGAACCCATTAATTTAACTGCTATAACTTTACAGTGATTGTGAAAGCATTTGTGACAATTTGATCTAGCCTGTAAACTGGCGTGACTCTTGTAACGTAGTTATTTGAGAATAGATTATTATTATTATTAAGAAGTGTCGTAAACGACTTGCCTGGCATTTTGGGATTCTTCATGCGCTTCCACCCTCTTCGTGTTTTTTTTCTTTCGAGAGCTCATAATTAATTGAAATTCA